AAGAAGATGCAATACACCAGACCCAACAATTCAGAAGAGCTAAAAGCCACTATTAGAGCAACCTGGGCTATCATAACACCTGAGCAGTGCCACAGACTGATCGACTCCATGCCACGCCGCATTGCTGCAGTAATACAGGCCAAAGGAGGCCCAACTAAATACTGAGTGCTGTACATGCTCATACTTTTCATGTTCATACTTTTCAGTTGGCCAACATTTCTATAAATCCTTTGTTTTTATTGGTCTTCAGTAATATTCTAATTTTCTGATATGATGAATTTGAGATTTTCATTTGTTGTCATTTGTAATCATCAAAATTAAACAAAATAAACATCTGAAATATATGAGTTTGTATGTAATGTATGAATATAATATACAAGTTTCACTTTTTAAATGGAATTACTGAAATCAATCTACTTTTTCATGATATTCTAATTTTATGACCAGCACCTGTATTTGGCACACAAAACTCTGCGGCTATCCAGTAGTCACTTTGGTGTTGTGGAAAGGAGAACTCTTTGGGTTCGATTGGAACTCAAACATGGAAATGTGCCGTTAATTAACCGTCAAATTCACATGCTGTGGTTGACTGTGGCTTCCAAGTAGAGCTACTTTCAGCAGCTTTACTCTTTTTGTTTAGCAGTCACTGTTAAAGTAGGAAGATAGACTGTGGCCTGAGATTTATAATCTGAATGGATTAAGTACCATTAATGATGCATTGTTTGCTTTTTTAACTGGAGTTGCTATTAGCAGCTTCCTCTTTCTCCTGCAGATAAAGTTAAAGATAAATGTGGAGCGGTTGGACATTTTGGAAGCTTGACAAAACAGCTTTTGGAAGATCTCAGCCTCCAGGGGGAAAAAAAGCATTTTGGTTAGCCTCTCCTTTGGTTTTACACAGATCTTGTTCCGACTGTTGCACATCAGAAGGATTCCAGGCATGTGTCAGCAAAAGATAAGCTGGAAACGGTACAACTGCAGCTTCCCATGCAGACATGCTGAGGTTGCCAAGAACTGAAGCCAACAAACAAAGCATGAATAATGGGGCTAGACTGTGATGCAGACCTGAGAGCATATGACTGTTTTATTGTATGATGTCATTAAAATGTAAGTGCTAAGTGTTGAAACATTTCCTCTTTTAAATGTAATTCCCAACCAACATTTCCTGAAAGTGAAGGATTGGTGTGGATAAAAAAAACTCTACGGGTTCAGGAGAACTACATGAATTATTGAAACTAGTCTTTGGTTTTTAGCTCTACCTGTAAAGTGGCACTTTAGTCCGTCACTGCTGGGAGCAGGGAGTGGCAGAAAGCCAAGTTTATTCACTAATCTCTTATAACTTTAATCTGTGTTACTGATGTATTTCTGACTAATGTTTTTGGAGAAGACACCATATGCAAAAGTTACAACAACTAGTAGTCAGAGTCTGAAAAAGGACCTGAAAACTGAACCAGTCTGACTGTGTGATCTGGTTGAATTGTCCCTGTTTTAATACCTCATGGTTGTGAACTGGCACTATATAAATAAACTGAATTGAACAACATGCATCCCAGTTACTAAGGTTCTTGGTTGTCACGTTTTTTTCTCTTTTATGCTCACATTTGTGCGGCATTTCTTAATACTCCTGGATGCCATGAGTTTTTCTGTTTCCCCCTCTCTGTGCCGTTTTATTCTCTCTCACACAGTTGTTGGCAGACTGGATCAAATAACAGCAGCATAGCCTCCAGGCTGAGCCTTTCTCTTCTCGTTTTTGGCTGGGCCAATACTGACAATGTAGGAAATGACAAGCCCAAAGCTTCTGATCGGTCTTGAACTTTGGTTCTCTGTCAGCACTCATTCATCATTCCTCCCCGCACTTCCCATTTATCAGTGAGGCTCAAGCAGTTTCAGAAATTCAGGTGAATCATTTTATCCTGATTGGACCTTTAACCTTCTTTAGCTTTGGTCATCAAAGCAGGTTTCTGTCTCCAATTTATTCCTCATTTGATCTTTGGAACAAAGGCTTCACTAAAACTATTTAAATCACTGTTAATTATTTCCCTGAGTGGGATTTAGAAGGTTGTTCCCTCCTTTACCATTCTCCTTACTGTTTGGGCGCATGTAGTGGCAAGATAAACTGAATTCTTTATTCTTCCTTGTTTGTTTGATGTAACACACATTTTCATTGGTCTATGACTCTTAAACATCACAGCAAGGGAAGTTTTAATCCATTCTCCTTGGCAGATATGATTGAAATTAACCACAAGCGAGAGTTTTGAGAAGAATATTTTAGATTCCTCTGGATAATTTTAATTGGATTTATTCCAGAATTTTGCCTGGTCATTCCAAAACGTTTTGTTGTTGTTTTTGTTGTAAATCATGGGTTTAATTGTTGGCAAACCTAATAGTGATTAAGCTAAAGATCCTTTACTGATGGCTGGATATTGTTGAGTGATTTTATATCAGATAATGAATGCATAAATCCCTAAGGGCTCCAGGAGGCAAATCATCTCTACCGCCACCATGTTTGACTTTTTATTCTCTGTTTGGTCTCTGTTTTAGAACTCTTTGACTTTTGCCCAATCTCTGCCAAGTGATTTTTGAAGCGCTTTAGATGAGGTTCTGGGTTGTTTGAAAAACTTCTTAATGGATTTAATTTGAACTCTCCTGGTGAGGTTCACTACTGCTGTATGTTTTCACAGGTATGGATTAATGCTGCGTTCACACCGAACGCAGCAGGAGCAGCGAGTTTACATGCAAAGGGAATGGTTGACGCGCGTCAAGGTGCAGCAAAATGTCCCGCAGCGCATCTGAGCAGCTGAAGCAGCTCGTCAGGAGCGTTAAAACATATTGAAACTACTTTATTCCCCCTGATCACAGCAAATATAGCTGCAAGGCAAAGAAAGGATAAAATAGCTCCGCCCAACGCGCGTCAGACCCACTTTTCCACCGCGCAGCCAGAGCAGCAAAGCTGTTTCAGCTGCGCGTCAGAACTAAACTGGTACAAGCAGCAAAAAGGAAGAAGCAAATGCGTTATTGCTGCTCCTACTGCGTTCGGTGTGAATGCAGCTTAAGGCTTTCACTCTGATCAGCTGATGTCCCAAAGTCTTAGAAATGTGTACCTCTTACAGCAATGATGGATTTCAATAACCGTGTGTTTATTATTTAGACGTTTCTTATACTTAACAGACAGGTTATAAATTAATTATCATTTATTCTCATCCAGTAACACATACCATGGTTTGTGTTGTGAAATCTGAGAGCTGAGATAAAAAAAACAAAAAACTTTTTTAGTCAATATGACATTTAGCAAGTGGGCAGGGCTGTTATTTTTCCCCAGTTGGCTTTGGATGATAATTAAAATCATAATTTCTAAAACCAATTAGTGATTTAACCACATTATTTTTATTCAATACATATCGTATCGTGTTTATCAATATCAGTCAATTCTCAAAGCTGCAGTATCTGTATCATATTGGAATTGAAAAAGTTGTATAGGAAAGCTTTTTTCTCATCATTTCAGATCTATAACACGGGTACCACATTCAACTGGTCAGACCTCAAAGAAAAACTTAATTTTATTTTCTTAAACATCCTTACCAGCTGTCTGAAACTCTTTTTTTAGGGATGATATATCTCCAAACTGTTTCTCGTTGTTAATAGTTAATGCGTTCCTCATGTAGAGTTGATACATTTTGCATTATAATGCGGATTAACTGATTCAGGGGTCAGGTGTTTTCCCCATAAAAGTAGATCCACATTTAATCTAGCTTCTTTTAATTCTATATTATTTTAATGCCAGATATAATTTCTCTTTTAGCTAATAAAATTCTATAAAGTGCCTGGAGGATGGTGGATATCATTTGATACTAAAGGTGATGAGATCTATTGTATTGGAGAGAAAGAAGATGATGTCGGTGGGGGAAAAAAACAGATGTACCACAAACTTAAATTTAAACAACTGAATGGCTTCATATGGCAACACAGAGGTCTATCTCCATTCTTCTTGACTCCAGTGTCATTCCTAACGCCAGTTTGGTGTCAGTCCTTTGGAACTCTATGATCCACTCTGCCAGGAAGGATAGTGTCTCCTCTAATCTCCTTATCCTTCTTTGTTGAAATCTTACCAGGACACAGCAATGCTGCAGGCCTACTCCATCTTTCTCTCCTCACTCACACTTCACTCCACACCCCCCCTTTTCCACTGCAGGCCTAGAGACATCCGCTGAATCTGAAAAGTCTTGCCTCCATTATCTCTCCTTTGTCATGCGTTAAACAGACAGCAGGTCCACCTTGGACAAAGGCCAGCCTGAAGCAGCTGTCCTGCTAAAGATAGACAGATACACACCATCTGTTGCTCCTTCCTCTGCTCAGCACCGTGTCTCTTGTTTTTTTTTACGCGTTTCCTCTCTGTGCTGATTTAGATCTCTTGAGTCATTCGTAATGGCGATTATGATGAGTTGGTTGCAAAATGTCATTTCCTCTTTTAATGAAACCCTATCAAAAACCAACTTCTGTTATCCTAAGACACTAACTACTTATTTTTGTATGATCAATTAACATTGTTACTGTGGAAAAGGGTTGATGTGTACTGCTTCATGCAGTTAAGTAGTCTGTTAAAGACTTTACTTCAACTGGAATTCCTCCTCTTAACACTCATCATATCATAGTTTTAAGGTTCTATAAAATCCTTGGTAAGTTAAAAACCAGCTGCACAGTACATTCATTAAATAGGTTTTGGCAAGACGTCTGCACACACAGAAAGGTGCAGATTGCTCCCATTCCCAGGACCTAAAGGCATATTTGTGTCTGCAAGAACCTAGTAAAATCTGCTTTGAGAAAGCAGTGAAGAAATGAAGTCAGAGTGTGTGCAAAACATCTACTTAAAAGGTATTCCAATGTTTATACATAGAGTTTAACTGTTCCCTTTGGGTCTCAGATACCTTAGCCTAAGAGCAGAGTGACACCAAGTTACTAAATCTGTGTAAATAAAAGCCTGACTCCTTTCTTTGTCTTCTTCTCAGGCCCAGTGTAAAGAACTGTTTATCCAGGAGCGCTATGGAAGGTATGACCTCAGCGACCCCTTCCAGGCTTTGCAGAGAGACAGTGAAATTGTCGGCAGCCCAAATAAGGAGCCTGGCTGTTCCTCCTCTGCCTCCAACCCTCTGGTGGTTCTCAAACTGGTGGTGAGCCACTGCAGGAGGATGCAAGAGAAGATGCTTGCCCAGCTGGCCGCAGCTGAGAGCAGACACAGAAGGGTGAGCTTTAAGAAATGTCACAACTACAGTAGCTCCAGATGCAGAAACTGGAGAACTTGGAATTATTTCATTTGGAAGCAAATGGGTAAAACGTCAACAAACTATAAAAACCGTGCATCGCTTATGTAAATGAAACAAAATCACTCAAAAACAAAGCTAGCTGAAGCTGTTCATTTGGCTGCAGAATTTTTGATAGAAAAATAAATATATTGTTTTACACATCCAGAATAACACGCAAAATGATCTCTTGCTTCAGTGCTTTTCTTAGCGCTTTCAACGTTTCTGCATGCTGGGTGTGCTGTGTGCTTGTGATCCTATTATTTTTGGTGCATCCCCTAAACTTAATGATTAACTCTATGTATTTTTTCACCAGCCTTTTTTTGTTGCCCCTCGATGATTATACACTATATTGCCAAAAGTATTTGCTCACCCATCCAAATTATTGGAATCAGGTGTTCCAATCACTTCCATGGCCACAGGTGTATAAATTCAAGCACCTAGGCATGCAGACTGTTTTTACAAACATTTGTGAAAGAATGGGTCGCTCTCAGGAGCTCAGTGAATTCCAGCGTGGAACTGTGATAGGATGCCACCTGTGCAACAAATCCAGTCGTGAAATTTCCTCGCTCCTAAATATTCCACAGTCAACTGTCAGCTGTATTATAAGAAAATGGAAGTGTTTGGGAACGACAGCAACTCAGCCACGAAGTGGTAGGCCACGTAAACTGACGGAGCGGGGTCAGCGGATGCTGACGCGCATAGTGCGAAGAGGTCGCCAACTTTCTGCAGAGTCAATCACTACAGACCTCCAAACTTCATGTGGCCTTCAGATTAGCTCAAGAACAGTGCGCAGAGAGCTTCATGGAATGGGTTTCCATGGTCGAGCAGCTGCATCCAAGCCATACATCACCAAGTGCAATGCAAAGCGTCGGATGCGGTGGTGTAAAGCACGCCGCCACTGGACTCTAGAGCAGTGGAGACGCGTTCTCTGGAGTGACGAATCGCGCTTCTCCATCTGGCAATCTGATGGACGGGTCTGGGTTTGGCGGTTGCCAGGAGAACGGTACTTGTCTGACTGCATTGTGCCAAGTGTAAAGTTTGGTGGAGGGGGGATTATGGTGTGGGGTTGTTTTTCAGGAGCTGGGCTTGGCCCCTTAGTTCCAGTGAAAGGAACTCTGAATGCTTCAGCATACCAAGACATTTTGGACAATTCCATGCTCCCAACTTTGTGGGAACAGTTTGGAGCTGGCCCCTTCCTCTTCCAACATGACTGTGCACCAGTGCACAAAGCAAGGTCCATAAAGACATGGATGACAGAGTCTGGTGTGGATGAACTTGACTGGCCTGCACAGAGTCCTGACCTCAACCCGATAGAACACCTTTGGGATGAATTAGAGCGGAGACTGAGAGCCAGGCCTTCTCGTCCAACATCAGTGTGCGACCTCACAAATGCGCTTCTGGAAGAATGGTCAAAAATTCCCATAAACACACTCCTAAACCTTGTGGACAGCCTTCCCAGAAGAGTTGAAGCTGTTCTAGCTGCAAAGGGTGGACCGATGTCATATTGAACCCTATGGATTAGGAACGGGATGTCACTTAAGCTCATATGTGAGTCAAGGCAGGTGAGCAAATACTTTTGGCAATATAGTGTATGAGATACATTCTTTAAATGTCTATGTCTTTAACCTTTACAAAATGAAACATCTTTTGTCTGCTTGTCTGAAGCCATAAATGTTACCTGATCCTTTGAAGAAAGAAATGTCATCATTTGTGATTCATATCTCCTGTCTGAAATTTGTTGTCATATTAAAAGATGCACTGCTTTCTCTTTTTTTTCAAGGCTCTAAGATGATCTAACTATTTTGCAAAAGTAGATAAATATGTTTCTGTGGGATGTTTTCAGAAAACCATAATACTTTTAGCCAATGTTGAAGCTCCAAAGAGCCACAGGTGCCAAATACCTTTCTTTCTATGTCATGTTTCCTTTAGGTTATTGCAGACCTGGAGGAGGAAAAGAGGAGGCATGCTGAGGACACTGCAGAGGGAGATGATGTCACTTACATCCTGGAAAAGGAGAGGGAGCGCCTTCAACAACAGGTACTTTTTTCAAAGATATTTACCTCAGCCAGGAACAATGACTGACAGCTTTTGATGGTGCATGTTCGCTTTGCTTGCAGCTGGAGTTTGAGCGCAGTCAGGTCCGTCGGATAGAGAAGGAGCAACGCCGGGTTATTGAGCAGCTCGAAGAGGAACGATCTCAGCACAAGCAGCTCTCCTGTGCTCTGGCCAAAGAGTGCAAGTGGGCAAGTTCCCGGGCTTTGGAGGAAGGTCACCGGCTGACTGAGCTGAACCGCAAACTGGACAAGGTTCTAACAGTTTGAATCCAAGTCCATTATCCTTTTGTACATTTTTTAAACAGTTTGTGTTGCTTTATTTTTGGTTTTTAGGAAAAAGATGTCTGTCAGGCTCTGCGAAAGGAGCTGGAGGAGGAAAGGATGAAAGCTCTGAGGATGGAGGCGAGGGTGGAGGAGCAGCTTGCGGAGTTCGACACTGAGCGGGAACAGCTTCGCTCGCGGCTGAAGAAGGAAGAAGCTCATTGTTTTGATCTACAACAACAGGTGTGAACACTGTGGCAAACTGTACCTTGTGATGGTGAACTCTTATTCATTTATTATGGCTCACAGGAATCATCTCATTTCTGATCAGGTGGAGGAGCTTAAGAGGAGGCTGGGAGAAGTGGGAGGAGCCTGTATCAGGCAGGATGTAACAGAAAGAGAGCCGGCTACAGCTGTGGACAACATGAAGGTGGGAGACAGTGAGGAGGATGGCCTGTCTGAACAGCCAAAACCTGGTCCTCTTTGTCCAGGGGAGACAAATGGGCTTTATACACCAAACATTTCCTGTCAGAATGGAAATGAGTATCCGTCTCCTCATCAGACACAAACGTCGCTTTCCCTCAGCAGTGCCGCACTCCCCGCTCACAGTCATTCCTCGCCCTGCACTTCGCCCGTTCTGGTCAAACGCTGCACAGGCAGCATGAGCCAGGGAAGCTATCAGTCTCCATACCAGGCTGGGATCAACCAGCGTTTCCATGCAGCTCGCCACAAGTTCCAGGGTTCCTCCGAGCCAGATTCCCAGTCCCAGCCTGCTCAGCCTGTCCCTGCACTCTCACCAAAAGAGCTCTGTCCCCTGCCCAGCAGCCCCCCTCCTGAAGCCAGCCCAGTCAAGCAGTTGGCCCGGAGCACAGTCACTCAGGTCCTGTCCCGTTTTACCTCTGTCCAGCAGAGCGCCACCATGAAACACAGCGCAACAAACAACTCCCCATTTGGTACAGACTACCGCAGCCTTGCAGCCCCCCTGTCTCCTGTTGCTGGGAGGGCCGCAGGGGCAGTTCCTCAGGCGGTCAGATCACCAACCATCACCAGGGTGGAAAGGGGAAACCCTCCACCCATCCCTCCTAAGAAACCTGGTCTCACCCAGGCTCCTTTATCTCCAGCAGCAGCGGCGAAATCCGGCAGCCATTTTTCTGAGAGCCCTCTGTCTGGTAGCTGTGGTCTGAGCTCGAGCCAGGACGGCGTCAAAGAACTGGACATGGTGGTCTCCTCTAATTAACTCTTTAGATCAGATCCTACTTTCACTGCAGGATCATCTAATTGTTATAACCGACTTGTACATGAGGATTTATAGAAGTTCAATATCGCCTAGAAAAAAATGTCTGTGTATATATAAGATATATTTTAAATATAAGCAGAGGATATACTTTAGTTGGAGATAAGGAACAAAATGACTTCAAACTGTTTTTTTTCCCAATAAATATTATATTGCATAGAAAAGATTATAGACTGAGCTGTCAGTCAGTGTCTGAAGTGTGTTTCTCATTAATATTTTATATTAAAACATTGCTAAATGTTACACATTCTTGCTTCTGTTTACTTATATGGTCTTAATTCTGTCATCAATTATTGCCAATTTATCACTTATGTCATCTGTATTAATTGATGCTCTTCTTCTCTTAATGTTACATAGTGGTTATAAGAGACTGATAACCAGCAGGTACGGTTGGAGATTTTTCATGTTCAGATGAATGCCTAGATCAATTATAAAAATGCAGTGTTATTTAACTGGCAGCTTTTGCTCTAAGTGGTTTCATGTTTCTTCTATCATGTTTGTTTCACATACTTTACAATCATTTTGCTGGAAAGTGACATATTTAATAAACTCTTCTCAATTACACCTTTTGTGTGCGGTCTGGATACAGTTGGAAGCCTTTGTGTTTTTTTACCCTTACCTTCACTCTTACACGTATATTAAGTTAAGTGAGATTGGAAGCTCGGATTTGAATGAACATAGAACCTTGGTGTTTCAACTGCATCACCACTAAGATGAACTGGGGATTGGTCTATGAGGTGACTGTCTGTATGACAACTGAATGGATGTTACAAGAAATGCCTATACAGGGCTTAAGGAAGTAAATTAATAAAGTATTTTAGTTCATTTACACCAGCAAACTGAAAAGGTTTAACTATCAGTCCAAATATATTATATATTAAAATGTTATATTCACTATAAATCATATTTCTTATATTGTAAGGAAAAATATTGCATAAGTAATAGGTCATCTCTTTGATAGTTGTACTGCCCCTTAAAGTCCACCAGAGGTCACTCTTTCATAGTTTTTTTTGCAGGGTTCACTATTTCCTTTTTCTAATTTTAGAAATGAAATATTTTTTGTCATAGTGTTGTATTATACTCTTTATGTTGTACGATTGAATTCTACTTGTATTTTGAATTTTAACATTTCAGTTCTCTTGCAAACAGTTCAGGATGTTTACCGAGTTGTTAATCTTAATCCAACCAAGATTGAAAGATGCAATTCCACTTGAGGAAACATGCAACTCAACTGTTTTTGTTTTTAACTCCTTTTTCCTCATTTTCTTGGAAATTGTGAGAAGCACTCCTCTTTGAGGAAGTATGTTTTCCTGTTGGAAATCTTTGTTTTATTGCTGAAATCAAAAGCAGCTTTTTGTTTGCAAGGAATTGTGAAATCCAAAAAGCTGACTGAAATGTTTTGGGGGTTTTTAACTTTTGCTCAGTGTTGCTACAACCAGTAAACAGTACTTGTGTGGTATGCTGCTAAAAGTAATTCTACTTAAAGAAGAAAAATTAACGAGGATTAGTCAGCAATGTCAGAGCACATATTGTTTCTGTGTTTCCTTCGCACACACACCCACACAGGCACTTGCTGACTTGGCTTTTCCGATACATTGAATCCCCCTCCTGGCTCTTGGGGAACAGGGTTAGCTGGTTAACGGAACGGGTCACCTCTCTTTCATTCAGCTCACCTAATTAACATTCCAGTGTAGGACAGCAAAGCTGCATCCCAAATCCAGAACAGGCACGCCTAGTCGTTCTGCAAAGCCTCATCTTCTCAGCTTCTCAGGCCTCCATAAACACAAGCTCACACTGATGAGCTGTAAGAACAGCTCTTTGAACATTTCAGCAGCTTTTGTATTTGACATGAAGTCTATTTGTGTACAGCAACAAGTAGATATTGACTAAATAGTCTTTAGGGTGCAATACTGGAGCATTGAGGATCAGACTATGGTGGATGAGTAAAATCCAAAAGCAAAAAAAAAAACTAATTTTATTACATTTTACAAATATTTTATAAGACAGAGTAAAGACCCAAGGTTTCAAAACAGATAAACCGTTACTCAAATACTGCTAAATAATAAACCTAATTCTCTCCGTAGGTCTAGTAACAATAGAACAAACACATGTGTGCATAACTTTAGTCGGTATATTACATGAAATCCTAAGGAAAAGCTAAAGGTGTGATAAGATTGAAGAGAAAGTGAGATCCAAATTCAGAGATAAATATTCCCAACTGTGGAGGAACAAACAGTTATGGCCTGAAACAAATGTCAGTATGCAGCAAACATATGAAGGTATAATGCTAGTTTAAAAGTTTGAATTGTGTTTGTTATTACTGGAGATGTTGTGAGAGGTTCAAGAATTATGAAGGGATGCTTTTGCAAAGCACTATAAATACATACAGATGAAGCTGAGCTTTATGGATTGCTACAAATTGCTACAGATCTTCTAAGTACTGTCTTGGTCTGCAATGTAATTTTTCTGTAATTGAAGTTGTGAATCTGAGGTCAAGGAGGAGCAAAAAACCTATTAGGAGTTAAACTATTTAATCATTAAGAGACTCATATGGAGACAAGTTTGCAATTATTGATATGAATTAATATAAAGATATTGGTGCTCAGACCTAGAGCCAAGTAGTGCTGATGAAGGGAAAGATTTACTGTAATGGTGACTGGAAGTGGAAGGAGGAAGGTGGATGAATTTGGTAGGAGGTAAACCGGGGCAGTAAAGGGGGCATAGATGGGTTGGAAGGCAGACACTCATAACAGTAAAGAGGTACCTGATAAGGGAGAGTCCTAGATGCTATTGACTGTTTAGGAGGATTGGAGAGCAGAGCTAGAGTTGGGATATAGAGGTACGGTTTGTAAGAATCTTCCAGATTGAAATACATCTAGATTGCATATTAACAGCACTTTTTTAAGACTTGTCTCAAGAAAGAAAGCACAAAATATCCTGCAAAATCATTTTCTGTAATCCAGATACTGTCGTTTCTCTAGACTTGTAAGATATGATCGCTACCTGTGATTTCTATGGCCTAATCCCTGTTTTATGTGTTTTGAACCAAAATTAGCCCTGGCCATTTAAAAGGCCCATAATAGGAGCAAGGACCCGACACATGGCCCCCTAAGACCACAGCTGGAGCTGATATGAGGAGAGAGAGGGCTGCATGATGAGTGCTATGGCCACCATCACCTGCTCTTTGTAAAGCAATTTGTTATAGAGTTGTCAGTGTAACATCCATAGCTCAGCCCAGGCGAAGAAAGCAAGGGTTACATGTAATGAGGATCCCCGTTTGGCTCCAGATCTGGCTTTGAAGAAGGACAAACAGCTGGGCAACATGTTCGGTGACAGAATCTATCAGTACCTCACTCTGTGCTCCAACTAGTGACTTAGATAGTTTCAGAAGGTATTTCATACATATATCCAAGCTCCCAAATCAGCTTTATTACAATGGCTGACGGAGGTATTTTTAGGCTGCTGCATTTTTATTGACCTTTACTTACATCCCCATCTAACACCCCTGGATTTGCACTGATTAAACTGACCTCTCAACTTAATCTGCACAAACCAGGAACATCATGTGTCTTCTTTGTGCCTTTCACTACCTGCTCCATGTACTTAAGTTAGTCACTAAAGTCTCAGGGACACCAGCTGAAAATGTCCTTGGGGTGGGTCAGATGTTTCCAGACAAACACGTCTCTGGATTGGGACTGTTGATATGAGCTGAACTACAAACATGCACTCCAGTGGCATTACAGAAGAGGTTCAAGTGCTTGGAACTGGGGGAGGATATTTTACTCCTCCCCCCATCACTGCATGACATGGCATGGAGGCATCCTTATAGACTTATTAATCATTTTCTAACATTGAGAGGCTATACTGGGCATCACACCAAGCATGGGAAAACTGAACAATATGACAGAGGAGACAGATATAAGGAGTGCCAATGGGCTAACAGGATTCTACATTTATTTTTAGAATGACCTATACAAAACTGATTTTCTATCTGGCATTGGATAGGAATTAATTAACTTTTATGTTTCTGTTCCAAATCCTCACATTAATTTTTTTTTTACTGAGAAACAATCTTTGTATTTGAATTTATGTTGGAGCTTCATTTGTCCAAGAAAGAAACTCCTTACAAATGTTTGGTGGCATATGGATGCACTTTTATAAATACTTTTATAAATTAAAAAGAAAGCATCTCAGTAAGTGTTCAGCTGTATAAATCATAGATATATACCAATATGTAATAGGAGGTTTAGAGGAATAAATCCTGTTGGATGGCAGTTATGGAGAAAATAAATAAAATCATCTGTAAATTTGAGGATTTAAATTTACAAATGATTGGATCCCAAAAACAACAAAAAAAGAAAATTAAATGTATACTTAAATGTACCAAACGAAGGTTTCTACAGTGCTATTATTTACAGAACACATACAAAGAAACTCTGGATCTGTGAAAAAAAAGTCAAATGACAGCTTGTAAACACTTGAAGATGGAAAGAAATGTTTCACTGCATCAGTATCTGGCTTTTTACCGTTAGTTTCCAAATGCATTCTAGGAAAGAAATTGTTAAAATGGTACATTTATATACAACACAGTTGCTTTAATGTACAACTGGCATTTTATGAAGCACATTTTGATTAAATATCAAATCAGTGTACCACCTATCGATTCGGAAATAATAGTAAAACATTCTTTGTAAATCATCTCCCTCTCCATCGGGTTGCTTATGCAGTTCTTTATCAACACTCTCCAGAGTGTTTCAGTCAAATTAAATTCTGAACTCTAGCCATTACAAAATGGGAGAATAACATATCTTCATACCACTAAACTCTTGTAAAACCTCACAGGAGAATGGTCTGTTGGTACCACAGCTGAACTATGGGCCCCAGTTCTAAAGGTAAACCGGACTCAAAAATAAAACCAAACATTCCCTAAAGAATACAATACCAGTGTGAAACACGGTGGTGGAAGCATTATGATGCTACCGTTATGTTCCTCCAGGCAATGTCTTGTTAAGGTGGAGGAAGCTTTGATCAGTTCTGCTCCCAAACCCTCTGGTGTCAAGTGAGGTGGATAGCTAAAGGTGATTTTTCAACATGCACAACACTGAATCTAAAACTCTAGATTTTCATCACATGTGCAATAAAACCAGTAGCCTACTTTAAACATTTCCAGCTTCTTCTGCTCAGATGATGGATGTTGCCAATTTTGGAGATACATGTGCTTCTTTCAATGTTAGGTTCTGTTTTTCCAACATTTTGTTTGTTTGTTTTTCAATTTTTTGAATGCTGCATATTTCTTGTTTGTGCTCTCTTCTCACTTCTCTACGTTTGTACAGTGAGAACTTTTCAGGAATGTTTAATGTCTGTGCTTTGACTAATGGTCTCCAGTATGATTTGTTTTTTTAGATTTTTATTTTATTCAGTGTGGTGCTATTTTAGGACTGGTAATTCTGTTTTCCCCGTAAAGTGTTTGTGTAATATCCCTGTAATATTTACTTTGAAACATATGGATGGACTAAGGATCAGTGTTCTCTGCATCCCAGAAGTCTGATTACATGTATTAAATGCTCAATAGGTCTCAACTTCTAAAGTGAAATAAATTAACCCAACAAAAACATGCACAAACTATCATTTTAGTCTTCTATGCTTTCATACTGTGTGTTTCAGTCCTTCTACAACATCTTCAGTTTTTGTCCAGTTTCTCAGAAATGTGTGCTTTTCATTTTTAGAGATATATATCTTTTTAAGCTATAAGAAAAGTAAATATCCCAATGCGCAAATCCTTATTTTTTGGATGGATTCTGGAGAAAGATTTAATCATTTGTTAAAAGAAGCATTTTGTTTGCATCTTGCATCCATTGGACAAAAATGGCCTTCAATTGAAATCCATCTTCCTGCAAACTGTAGTCTGGGTAGGCTTAGGGGCGATGGGAGGGGTGGCGCACAGCTGACGCACCGGAGCAGAGCGCTGCGCCTTTTCCTGCGCATCTTCACTCCCGGCTGCTGGTGGAAAGGTGCGCACCAGTTCCGTCTGATTCTCTGATACTTCTTCTATTTTTCTTTGGGATGATTTAGAGACAGTCACAGATCAGTGGATTATTTAGATTTTTAGTTCCCGCAACTTTTCCTAACTTTATTTTGTAGCGCAGCAGAGGGGTTAAGTTTAATGTCTCCTATTGGTGGCGGCGGACTCAAATATTACACATTACAATTTTATAGCTGTGTCGATCAGACGCTCATTTTACATACTGTCTGCAGTAAACTGATGGAGACCTGAACCACGTTTTCCTTTTTCTGAAGTTCTTTAACCCACCGATAATGGACTCCGGACAGTCACCGGGAACTTTAACGCATGACTTTGCTTTGTTTACCAAGACATAAGTGGGAGAAACCTGATTTCTCTGATGAAATCCAGCAACTTATCAGACAACAGCAGTGCTATGTGGATCAGAAACCGGTCAAAGAGGCAACATCCTGCCAAACCCATTTTTATTCTGCTCCTGCTGATTTTCACACCCAGAGTGGATTCATCTTGGTGGTAAGTGAGATCTTGAGGCATGTTTCTGCACTCATGCAGCTGATGAGTATGAAAAATATAGATATGTGAAATGTTAACTAGATTATTTCTGTAAAGGTTGGGGTTTGCGTATCTATTCACAGGTGCATCTCAGGTAAAATGTTCATTTAATGAGAAGATTATGAGTGACAGCTAATAAAAAGCTAAAATGAGGTTTGTCAAAGATTTGGAAATATTACATAAGCTCAACAAATGTCAGATAATTAAGCCTGCCAATCAAGGACACCCTCTTAAACCATATCTAAGCAGGTGTTCAATCAGAGGGTAGTACAATTTTCTTTCAGAAAGTTGTGTTGGCTGTGATGGACTGGTGAACTACTGACCACTGGATATAAGCACAAGCTCCTGAAATGACCTCACAGACTAGTGGGTCTACTGTGGGCAATGGGATAGGATGGATGATGGCTGCACTGGCATCAACCAGCGTCACATGACTCCCCAAACCATCACTGATCATGAAGGCTTCACATTTAGCATCATATGAACTAGTTTCTGTGCCTCTTGATTACTAAAGTAAGATTCAGTTCAATTCATTTTATTTCTATAGTGCCAATTCTCAACACATGTCACCTCAAGGCACTTTACAGTTCACCAGATCAAACAGTCAAATTGATTTAAAGTTTTCTATCTAAGGAAAACCAGTGGATTGCATCGACTCATTGACTTGAAGGCAATCCCTCACACCAAGCATGCTTGTAGTGACAGTAGAGAGGAAAAACTCCCTTTTAACAGGAAGAAACCTCCAGCAGCACCAGGTTCAGTGTGAGCGGCCATCTGCCGAGGCCGACTGGGGTTCAAGGAGACATAAGTAGAGATGCAAAAGCAACTGTAAAAGGCGGCCCCGTCCAGGAAACAAACAACCAGGTAGACGAGCTCCAAGCCAGCTCCCATGTTAGAGGATAAAGAGAGTGCATCCAGTCAGTAAGAGAAACAGGACTACACTGAAAAACAGGCCGATCCCCAACATCTATGAGAAAAAACAGAGAGCATAAAGTTAGAGATTGAACTAACAGATTCTGCAGAGTGGGAGAATAGAGATTGAATGAAGCAAAATGATGAAAGAGGGTTCTCTATGTCCTCCAGCAGTCTAAGCCTATAGCAGCATAACTATAGAGATAGCTCAGGATAACCTGAACCCCTCTAACTATATGCTTTATCAAAAAGGAAAGTTTTAAGCCTAGATAGACAGGGTGTCTGCCTCATGGACTAAAACTGGTTTTTGGTTCCACAGGAGAGGAGCCTGATAACTAAAAGATCTGCCTCCCATTCTACTTTTAGAAATTCTAGGAACCACTAGTAAACCTGCAGATTGAGACCATATTATACATTTTTCTCCTATGCTACAAAATTGTGTTTTTGCTGTTGTCTCAGGTTCAGGAGTGGCTTAACATTACCAATGCAAGAGTTATTGTCCATGCAGTTTATATATCTGTGTGTGGTGGCTCATGCGGTACAGACTTTAGTTCTTGTAATTGCCTTTTGTTTTGTAACAGATTTGCTTTAGACCTCCCAAGAATGCTGCCAGCCCTGTTGTTTGCACATCATTCTCTGTTAAATGTTCTTCCTTATACATAACTTTCCATTTTTATGCTTGGTTACATCATTCTGTGAAGTGAACATGGACGACCTTTCAGGGTTTACCCTCATTCAAACGTATGTCTTTGCCATGATTATATACTGTAAGTTGTAAGGCCTTGTTGTAAAAATAATCTTAATTTAATGGTTTCATGTAAAAGCCAAATTATTAAATAACTTCCTAATAAGTGCTTATTGTTTATTATTTAGCGTTTAATGTGTCTCAATACCATATGAATGGTCAGTTAATAGATTCTAAAAAAATCATCAAAAATATAGCTATATGAACAGCTCTCACACACATATACACAGACACCCCCCAACGCACACAGATTTGTTTTTACTCTGCTATGTCTTCAAAAGAGGAACATCTTTGCCACCAAACTGGAATGTGTTGGATGTGTGTTGATGTTATTGTTTTAAATAAGTTTTACTGCAAACTGAGATGCTCCCAGCAGCAGAGTTCTAGAGATTAATGGTGTGAAGAGAGGTTCCCCTATCCACCTCTCATGCTCAGAATATAGTAGGCAGGTGCAGGCAGCGGTGCATGACTGAATGTCCCTTGATCATTTCTTTCAAACATCCTAAATACCACTAACAGAAAAAAATGGCTTGACCCTCACTGAAACACTGTAATTGCATCGAATCTGAAATCACAGATGAGCCATTAGTCGTCTTTTTTCTCTTCTCATTTTCAATGATACTTTAGTTTTCTTTTTGTGCAATTTTATTAATAAAAATGCAATTATAAGAGAAACTGTTCAGTTTTTATTTTCATGCTAACAGATAAAAACGGAGACATTTTCAGTTTAGTTGCCTGTATCTGTTTTCCATTGTTTTTACTTTATTATTATCAGGACAAGCACCATATGTCTCACTAGAGGACCCACTCCTTACTTTCTCTTTCTCTTATTTCTCTAGGAGACCATCAGAGCTCTTTCTGTACATCACACAATAAACACAAGTAGAGCTTCTGTTTTGCTTTACTGCTCAGACAGATTGTCATGGTCGGAATGGGACAGGGACAGCCATAACAGGAGTGGAAACAGCCCGCTATGTCTGTTTCTGTCTCAGTGGCCTGGCGACACAAATGCGGCTGTGATTAAGCACCAGGATGATATCCGGAAGGAGAACAGAGCTTAAAGAGGCCAAAATGGGTGGAGAGGAGAGAGGGGAGAGTGCAAGCATGTGGCTGATTTAAGTCTTTAGTTGTGCTAAAGGTGGCTGTCCTCTTCTCCTCATGATAAGAAAGAAATCATAATCTGATTACTCCTCTAAATGAGCTGCTGAAAAATCTGTGATTACAAACATCAAACAAAGATAAAACTGAGGCAGAAAGTTTTTTCTCCATGAAATTTTACATTTCTTTGAAAACTCATTTAATTCATTAGTCCTTAGGGCAAAAAATTCTGGAAATGTTGCAATAATGACCGTTTTGCAAAAAATATTTCTTAAAATAAACACTTTGCCAATTGAACAAGACAATTTACATCTAAAATAATAATAAAAAAACAATCCCATTGTCTTGTTTTAAGTACATATTATCTAATTATCTTATTTTAAGAGTAAAAATACTAATTCCATTGGCAAATAATCTTATTTACCTTTTTAAATTAACTACCTAATTAATTACTTAATGTAAGAAATTTTTATGCCACGCAAATTTGCAGTGCATCACATGTTTTTCTCCAAGAGAAGGTTATTTTTTGGTGGATGCTACAAATCAAAACAACCTAACTTGGACAAATAATTTGGACAGTACTACATATTTTCTCAGCTCTATTGCTCTTGAGGTTTGCTACTGCTGCTCGGATATCTGCAATGTTTATATCAGGGCTCTATTAAAAACCAAAAAGCTAACTAGAAAAACAATGCACCATTTAGATTTTTTTTACCTATAAAATACATATTCATATTTTGATTTGCATTCGTTTAAAGGAATAATATTTGTAGCAAAGTCAAAACACACTTTTGTAAGGTCTACAATGAGATTCATCAAATCAAATTAACAGACAATAATCTGCATTATTTCATATCGTTTGCAATTCAGTAAGTAAGTTTATATGTTAAATCCATAGTATTCAGAACATGAATAAAGCATTCAATCTCAAAATATACTTTTTGGATCTGCACAATAGTCATACGTTGACCAAGACACTTACAAGTAAATGTTTTTGAACATGATGCATTAAATAAATCTTCCCTTAAAACACATTCATCATTAATACATTTTGCCATTTTATTTTATCCTTAGATAGCCTTGCACCTATGGTATCAACAAAATGAAAAACCTGCCCTTTTTAAACAGTTTGTGTTCTTTGTTTAAAAAATGTACTCATCTTCTGGCTTTGGTAATACCATAATATGTTCTACCAGTTAGCATATACAATAAATAAATAAAATAAAATAAATCTATATATTTAGAAATACTAGATACAATAATTGGAAGGATCCAGTGACTTGCAGGATGACTTCAAGCCTGATGGAGACAGACCAATCAGATGCTGAGTTAATCAGACTTAGAGACTCTGAGACCCAAGAGGTAATCTATTACTTCAGTTCTCTAACAGTGAAGTTCTGTGATTTTTTATTTTTTTTTTTACTTCTATTAGCACCTTTTTATTGGATGTGGTGGTGAGGTAATTTTGGTTTGCCATAGCTTTAGTACATTTAAGCTTCTAAATAAGAAATTAGAAGGTAAACCCAATTTAGGCTATTTATTTGTATCCCTTTCCTCATTTATGAGAACAAATCATTTGTTTTTCTGTTTTCTTTTCCTATTTTGAAGGGTTGCCTGAACAAATGGGGCATCCTTATCACATCATGATTATTTTCCATGTAAACAGAAAGACGCTGATTACTAAGGTGTTAAAAGAACTCATATTCTTTCCTTTACTAAACATACTTAAAATAATCAAGGTGTAGATTTAAATAGGAGGGAATGGATGAAGAATGTCTTGCATCTCAGAATCATCTGCAATGTTTTCCAGCCCCCCGTCTTCATCCATGACACTATCAATGTTCTCATACAAACAACCGGAGCTCCATCTGAACAAATTCTCTTTGCACTCTTAATTTTCCCTATGTTTTGTTGCAGCTTGTATGCCATGTTGTTATCAGTATCTGTAGAAGTAAAGACCTAGTTTTGTGAAAAATAGTGAGTGGAAAGTGCTAAAAAAAGTTCTAAAAAAAAAAAAAAAACTCAAGTAAAGATACCAAAAAAGCTGCTTGAGTACATTAAATAAGTATTTAGTTTATTCAGTAAGTTGACTAATCTGTTAATTATTAAACGTTCCTTAAAACTGACCAACTCAATAAGTATAAGCACGTTAAAAATAAAATACTTTATTTTCATTTATTTTAAAAGGATTGTTAGTGTTCTGTGATTTTGTGTAAAATAGTTGATTTGTCTTTACCAAGTAAATGTACACCTTTTTTTTTTTTTTTTACATTTATTTGTCAGGGGTAGATTATTAAACTGGCACAAATGATTAATATATTCTAAGCCATTTTTTATATATTTTTAGGAGGGCTGGTGTCCACGCACCATTAGATATCAAAGTGCCTCATTATTTTGTCAATCAGATAGCGTTCATTTTTAATTTTACATCTTGTATAACATTTGAATGGTTTATAACTCAACATCAAAACTCAGCTACTTATCCAACTCCACAAAAAATGAGAAGGCAAAGCTCCATCTTCTGAGAGGCATCACTATGCTGGCTCTTCATTAGCTTTATCTGTGTCTCTGAAGGTACATTGGAGCACTGGGTGCTCGGGTGATCTGTGACAACATTCCCGGCCTGGTAAACAAGCAGCGGCAGCTCTGTCAGCGGCACCCAGACCTGATGCAGTCCATTAGCGAGGGGGCCAAGGAGTGGATCAAAGAGTGCCAGCACCAGTTCAGATACCACCGCTGGAACTGCAGCACACTAGACCGAGACCATACTGTGTTTGGCAGAGTGATGCTGCGAAGTGAGTCTGAGTTTTCTGTCTGCGTGCTGTGTCACAGAGGTTACTTATGTGGATGACACTAGAGTTAATTTTCTTCGGAAAAGCCTAATGAACTAAAAGTAAACATTGAAATTAACTTTACCTTGGAATACAAACAAAGGGAGAAAGTGTTGTGGGTTATTTTACCATCTTTAGAATGAAGGACGATTGGGAAAGTAAATGTTCCCTGAAAACAAGAAGCAGATTGGGAAATCCACAATGGTGATGTATAAACAGTAATAGAAGATGTAAATATTTGGGTAGATGTATCTGGCAGCCAGACAAAGCTTCACTCCCTGACATATTGCCTGTGCTTTGCCTCATTGCGTGAGCAGGAATGAGAACAGAGGAGGGTGAATCAGCCAGACCAAATAACCCCCAGAATCGTCTCTTGTCTGAAATAAAAACACAGTTCAGAGACCTCGATCAAACTGGAAATTAAAAAAAAAAAGTTTAAAGTAGAACTGTGGCATTTCAGCTCCAACACTGTCTGGACCATCTGCGACAAATTGATAGATAATGGTACCCCTATTGCAGAGATGGCAAAAGTACTCACTTTCCGTACTTGAGTAAAAGTACAGATACTTGTGTTAAAAAATACTCTGGTAAAAGTGGAAGTACTGATTAAACTTCTTTACTCAAGTAAAAGTAACAAAGTACAGGCTTGTAAATTTACTTAAAGTATAAAAGTAAAAGTAGAAGCCACTTTTTTCATGCCGTTGCCTACATTTTAAATGGATGTCTGCCAATAGGACTAGATCTCCGTTGTGTTCATTTTCAATCATCTCGTCGTCCATGCTACTATGCTAACGCCACCGCCACCAAGCTGCAATGATTTGCCGCCAATGAATACCGCGGAATCTGTCGATTCATCTTGTAGTGGTGCATCAAATGCAGCGTAGATTCCCATCCAACTAGATTGAATTTGGTATTGATGACGTGAAAAATAATAACGGTAACTCCATTGAAATGATTCAAAACTAAAGTAACGAGCCAATGTTTTAAAATGTAAGGAGTAGAAAGTACAGATATTTGTGTAAAAATGTAAGGAGTAGAAGTAAAAAGTCGCCATAAAAATAAGTAGTAAAGTAAAGTAAAAATATCAGGAAAATCTACTTGAGTACAGTAACAAAGTATTTGTACTTCGTTACTTCCCATCTCTGCCCTATTGCTAAAAACATATTTGGAGGAAAGGTTCTTTTCTCAACAAAGAAACTAAATACTTAAATAAGAATTGAATTTAAAAATAGGACAAAATGAGTACAGCTTAGATAAGGTGGTAAAGAACATTTGTAAGGCAATAAATGATTAAACAAAAGGGTTTTTGTCTTTTTCTCTAATGGTAACGTATGTATCTCCATCCAGGCAGCAGAGAGGCGGCATTTGTTTATGCCATTTCATCAGCCGGAGTGGTCTACGCCATCACCAGGGCCTGCAGTCAGGGCGAGCTTAAAATCTGCCACTGTGATGATCTCAAACGTGGCAGAGAACGAGATGACAAAGGCTACTTTGATTGGGGGGGCTGTAGCGACAACATCAACTTTGGCATCAAATTTGCCAAGGCTTTCGTGGATGCTCGAGAGAAGATGGTGAAGGATGCTAGAGCACTGATGAACCTGCACAACAATCGATGCGGTCGGATGGTGAGCAGCAGCAGATCGAATTCTATCAATTTGAATCAGGTTTTTTGTTGACAAGGGGGAGCTAAGCTAGCTATTACACTTATTAAACCCAGAATGCTTGAATAGTGAGTTAAATATAGAAATGCTGTACAGCTCAGAGTTAAGAACTAGATTTGCCTAAAAATACTATTGCAAAATGAGAGCTTAAGAACTTAAGTGGCTTTGCTGCTTAAAGTTGCTCCGATATGTTTTGTTTTGTTTTAGCTTTTAAATACCATGTTGGAGTATTAGTTTGATCTCTATGTTAGTACACTCCTCAAAAAAATCAAGAGAACACTTAAACAACACAACATAACTTCAATCAAATCTAAATTCAGTGACATTAACCTCTACACTTAGGTCAAAACACTGATTGACAATCAATATCACATGCTGTTATACAAATAGAACAGACAACAAGTGGAAATTATTTACAATTAGCAAGATACACTCATACATGAGTGATTCTGCAGGTGGGGACCACAGACCACTTACCTATGCACAATCCACACAAGTGCCTCAGGTAGTGCTGCTAATCCAGGATGGCACATCAATGCAGGCTGTGGCAAGAAGTTTTGCTGTGTCCGTCAGCGCAGTGTCCAGAAGCTGGAGGAGCTACCAGGAGACAGATCAGTACACCAGGAGACATGGGGCGGTCGTAAGAGGGCATCAACTCAGCAGCAGGCCCGCTACCTCTGCCTTTGTGCGAGGAGGAACAGGAGGAGTACTGCCAGGGTGCTACAAAATGAAATCCAGCAACCCTAAAATGTTCATGTGTCTGCACAAGGGGTTAGAAACTGACTCTATGAGGATGGCATGAGGGCACTTGGCATTTGCCAAAGAGCACCAGGATTGGCAAATTCGCTACATGTTCTTTACAGATGAAAGCAGGTTCACACTGTGCACGTGACAGACGGGACAGAGTCTTGAGACCCTGTGGAGAGTAATCTGCTACATAAAAGATACCTCAGCATGATGGCAGGGGGTAAGTAATGGTGTGGATTAGCATTTCTTTGGATGGCCACACAGCCCTCCATGTGCGGCTGTTAGGTACAGAGATGAGATCCACAAACCCCTTGTGAGATACTATGCTGGTGCAGTTGGCCCTGGGTTCCTCCTAATGCAGGACTATGCCAGACCTAATAGGGCTGGAATGTGTCAGCAGTTCCTGCAAGATGAAGACATTGAAACTATGGACTGGTCTGCCCGCTGCCCAGACCTGAGTCCTATTAAAAACATCTGGGACATCATGTCTCTATCCGTCTACCGATGTTACAGTACGTTTCACCACAGGCTATCCAGGAGTGGGTGGATGCTTTAGTTTAGTTCAGGGAGGATATCCCTCAGGAGAGGGATCAGCAGCTTACCACCTTATCAGCAGCATGTCCAGGCATTTTAGGGGTGTTTGATCTGGGGGTGTTTCACCTGTTTTAAGGACATTACATCACACTGGGATCAGCCTGTAGTGTGTCTTTCCACTTTAATTCTGTGTGACTCCAAATCAAATGTTGAGTGATTTTGTTGTCACCACAGACATGGGCAATGTGGAGTCAACAAGTCATCTCCATGTCATGTATTTAATCTACCCAGCCAATTAACCGGGTGAGTCCAATCTGCACATGTCAATTCACGGTGAAGATTGGACTCACCTGCTTCAGTGGCTGGGTAGAACAAATACATGACATGGAGATGACTTGTTGACTCTTGCACATGTCTGTGTCACCACATTCAACTTTGCACAGTACAAGCTATTCAAAGAGAATATATAGATAGCATTTATTGTCACTGAACAGAATTCAACGAAATTTCCAATATCCGTCATTAGGTTCTAGGATATGTTATTTGAGTGTTTCCTTTATTCTTTAAGCAGTGTACGTTACACTAAATTATATCAGACTTCTATGGGCTGATAAAATTTGTAGGCAGAACTAAGTGCCCCTTCTTAAACTTATTCTATTTATGCTGTACAGATAATTAAAACACAACTGCTGCATTCATCTGATACCTGATCTCAGGAAGTCTGTAACATGTGAGCTAAGAAAGATTAAAAAGCAAGTCAGTAAAACAGCATTATTTGCTTATTTTGGTGCTTAGTGACAAGTCCAATAATGAAAAGAAAACCAAATTTAAGAGTTAAAAGTGCAAAATGTTTTAAAATACTAAAGTTCTGTGATATTATGTAATGTTCCAAAATATGTTGCTGATAAGAAAAATAAAAATTGATGTAATATTTTGGCATAAATCAAAAAATGTTCCACAGGTACTTTTAACAAGAGAACAAAAGAAATGTTGGATCTATGTTTTTCTGAAAAAAAAGAACACCAGAAAAAAAAATTATTTGTCTAAAAAGTCACAGATAGAACATAAGTTCAAATCTAAACAGAATCAAGAGCAGAGCTGATTACACCTGCATCAGCCACAGGCAACAGCTTAACACCCTGTCACCTCTGACCCCTGCTCTAGGCAGTGAAGCGCTTTATGAAGCTGGAGTGCAAGTGTCACGGGGTCAGTGGTTCCTGTTCTCTGAGAACCTGTTGGCTGGCTATGTCTGACTTCAGGCGAACCGGAGACTACCTTCGGAAGAAGTACAACACGGCCATCGAAGTGACCATGAACCAGGATGGGACCGGCTTTATGGTGGCAGACAAGGACTTCCAGGGAACCACCAAGAATGAACTGGTTTATGTGGAAAACTCCCCAGATTACTGTAACAGGGACCGAATGGCAGGCAAGTGAATAAATAAAAAATGATAGCATATTCTTTTTTTTTTTTTTTTCTTTTTTTTTAAAGGTTGATTTTGAAAGTTTTGAATTTATTAAACCAAACGCAGTCTTTAATTTAAAGTTTTGTACATTGGAAATAGTCTAATTATTACATTAACTCCTTTCAAAAGGTGCAACTCATACATCGAACATAGTGTTATATATACAATCTGTTGAGGTAAATAATAGTTGCTTGCAGTTGATAAAAAACAAAAAAAATCCTTGTTCTTGATTTCACCTAAAATTTGAATATCACAAAACACCAGTTATGATAGAAATTTTCGTGGGGTTTCGTAAGCCCATGCTGCTATGACAGCGGCCATCAGATTATCAGGGCTTTTGGCTACGAATCTTTTTGTCTGCCTTTTGACAATTTTCCAAAGGTTCTCAATGAAGTTCAGATCAGAAGAGTGGCCACTAACCATTATTAGTATTTCAGGCAGTAAGGACAGCAGCCAAGTCTCATTGTAATAAAAACAAGGAATGCAAAATGTGTTTTCATCTAAATAAAACAAAATCAGAGCCAGAGACAATCCAGTTTCTGTTCCAATTTCTGCTCTGTAGCCGGGCTACAGTAAGAAGGTTCTGAGTTGTCCGGTTCAGAATAGTCACTGCATGAAATAACACCCGTTTGTCATTGCTTTTGAAAACATCTTAAAATCTTCTCTCAACTCTCAGCTTTGCTTCAGAAAGGCAGCTTTTATTCCTGTTCATTATTTGTCCTTCAGCTCCTCTTTCAAGCAACAGGATGATTTCATTAGCAGCTAACCTTTGTTGCTGCTGAAACATCAGTGTCCGTCTGCAGGACACCATCTGTTGATTTCTACATATATTTTAAAATATCTCAGATCATTGTTTAGAACTTTAACAGGACAGATAGAATAAAGTCATATTCTGACGTTTTTTCCTGGGCTGAACATCAATCCCTTGACAAAGTCAAAGCCATTATAAAATACTACCATTACCCTGTGGTGTTCCTTTAAAACTGAGGGGAACTATGTTCCCTTTGAAACATTATTTCCAAAAAAAACGACAAACAGATGGTGGATCCTGTACTAGTAAAAAAAAAAAGAAAAATCAAAAACGAATGGCCTTCTATTGATGTCCGAAATTCCTTCACAGCTTAAAGTTCAGTAATTTGACCTCTCACATCTCCTTTAATTCCTGATGTTTGCTTTGCTTCGTTTTCAGATCCATCCCCTTCAGCAGAGCGTGACAGAGTTCACTGTTAGTAGATTAGACGAGGTTAGCATGTGCAGGAGACACTATGGCACTGATCTTGCAAATTCCTTTGTTCCTCCCAATAGCTGGCATAATTGCAGTATGACAACCTTGGTGTATCTACAGTGTGTTCATTCAAAAGGATATGCTTTCTTACCTATTGAGAATTAAAATCCTAACAGCAGTCCCTAACCTACCTCACTGCTATTTCCTTTGTGTAGGAATTCACAGCCTAAGGATACATCAGGCTTATTTTGCAAACCATTGCTTTGGTCAGTGTGAGCCTCTTCTCTCTGAGCCAGGGGGAAATTCTACTTCTATTCTTTTCTCATTGACTTTAGACACCCTGTTATTAGACCTGGCATCTGATCTTAGGCTAAGATTTTCCACATGAGTACATGACCACAATCAGGGTCTGAGACTATTCTGCCTGGTAGCCAGAACCTTTTTTAAGAGTGTGGGAAAAGTGAGATTTTTTGGTTTGGAAAACCGTAACATTGCATCAAAATGTCTACTGTTGTTGGCCAACGGGCAGCATAATTAATTGACGCTCTATGATATCACTATAGTTTTTTAAAAGGTTATTTGGTGGAACGCAACCTCCAATCGCTGCCATAAATAAACCATAAGATCTGTGTCAGCATATGTTACATGCAGTAACGCTTTTTGAAACAGACGATCATGCTTACTGCAAAAGTTCAAGTAGCGATACAAAGACTTGTCAGTAAAATGTAAAACATATATGTATATAAAAATGGCAACCATATCAGTTGTGCTGTGGAAAATTTTTCTGTTGCTTTTTGCATTTTCAGTCAATAAATAATGGTTGTTTCTCTGTGTTACGCATAGAGAAGGCAGCATAAAGCATATGTCCAAACAGTATTATCTATCATTAATGATCATTGATGCTAAATAATATATATGATAAATAGCTAATGGTGCTCTACTGAATTAATTGGTTGTTTTTGTTTTTAGTGTCTATAAAATATATAGACTGGTCAAACCAGAGTGGATCAGTCTATGTTTCTTTATTTTTCCTCTGTTCTTCTTTGTTTCAAAGTGAGGTTTAGCAAAACTTTTCTTTATGTGTTAGAATAAGGATATCTTTAATTATTTTCTTGAACCCTTTATTTGTTACAGCAGGCATGCCCAAAATGAGTCCTCAAGCCCCTCTATTCTGCAGGGTTTAGCAGAGGTGTGCAGTTCTAGTTCCTGAGGGCTGGCATCCTGCGACCTTTAGATGTGCCTTTGGTTTAACACACCCTGGTTTAGGGGTTTCACTGCTTCAGCACAGCTGATTTTCATTGATAGGGGATTAACCAGCTTTTGCTGAACTGCAATTATCAAATCAGCTGTGCTAAAGCAGGGAACCTTTAAAACCTGCAGGACAGCGGCCCTCGGGGCAGAGTTTGGGAATACCTAAAGCATGCAAAAAACCTTTTTATTTTAATATTGTTGCTTTTTTTTTCTTTCTCATTCACATCTAAGCATATCAACCACAAACGGATTAAGGTTTTTGGGAGTATGTTGCCTTTTGAAATGTTGTTAAATATATTCAGTATTTTATATGAAATTTAGAGCAGCCATATTTTAAACACAATATGGATTCTATTAAAAGCTATTTTCTACAAAGAAGAAAACAATGATCAATGACAACTGATATAACCCACCTAAATTCTATTCACCTAAATAGCTTTTTATAATGCAATAAGTTATAGATTTATACTCTTTTTATCACTTCACAGGCTCCTTGGGGACAGCTGGCCGAGTGTGCAACAAGTCTTCACGAGGCACAGATGGCTGCGAGGTCATGTGCTGTGGACGAGGCTACGACACCATGCGCATCAAGCGCGTTACCAAGTGCGAGTGCAAGTTTAGGTGGTGCTGCGCGGTGGAGTGCAAAGACTGTGAGGAAGTAGTGGATGTTCACACCTGCAAACCGCACAAAAGGCCAGATTGGCTGGATATAACTTAGAAGATGGCCGAAAACAAATGCAATGGGCTCAAGAACTATCCTAGAAATGGTTGTGACTATAAAAGATTTTTTTTTTGTTGATCTTTCTCGATGGAAGGACATCCTAAACCTTAAGAGGATTGTAAACTGGAAAAGTAGCCCACTGAACTGTTTGAAATAAGACAATTTATCAAACACTTAAATATGTGTTATTAAATGGTTGAATACGTTATTCTACTTGTATAATTTTGACACAAAAAATGCTATTTTACCGGAAGATGGAAGATATCACCATTATAGCAGAACAACTGCATCTAAAGTAAGAACAAAAAAAAAGAAAACATGCTGACATTGTCTCATTTATAATGACGCTTGACTTATTGCATGTTTTTGACTTTTACTCCTGATATCTAAGTATTTAAAATGTGCTGTTTTCTTAAAAAATGTCATTGGAGACAGTGATAGTAACTATTTTGTCTTAAAACAAAAAATATATATATATACAAAGTATTGATTTAGCGAGACTGTGAGGATTTCAGGATCATACCTTATCAGAGCCATATTCAATTATGAGTATGTAGGGAGAAGGCACCATCAGTGATTGAGCAAAGGTTTTCTTTCTGGGAATTTTACTACATTCTCAACTATCAGGGATGCTAACCACAAAACTCTCTGATAGAACACAGGTTTTAGAAAATTAGGATTCCTTCTTTTTTTTATTTTTTTTTGAATAACAGAGATCCCATTTCAGAGGATGTCTGACTAAACTAACTAGGTGTTTCTGAGGATACCAGAGAATGGATTTGTCATCAGTTACTTTTGCAGCTGAAAAGCGGAATAAGTTAGGCTGTAGATGATGTGATGTATTGCAGCTATCAACGTTCATGCACTTCAAAACAATGACAGCCTCGAATATTGACGTGACCCACAACAATGTGAAGCTAGAGCTCGGATTAAGTAAACTAAACTGAAAACTGGTCCAAGTTACAGAAACAACTTATCAAGAACAATTTAGCTCCCAAGCAATTTAAATTTACCACATACAAAGGAAATTTATGGGGACACTACTGATTTAATGTAGGTATGCATGTAAATAAAAAAAGAAGCATAATATTTGTATCCATCAAATCATTGTCTTATGTGAGACGTTGCTTCCAGAGGTAACCACAGATCAAAAAGGAGCATTTCCATGTCTACACTCTCCAGCTTTTGCTGTGGGACCACAATTTATTCCTGGGACACATGGATCATATTTGTTATTTCCTGCAATTTCTGGGTCTGCCATGTGGTTTCCTTCCAGGTGGACCCCACTTTGACTTAAAACATACAAAGAAAGGTGCCCTTGAGACATTAGAATCACTTACCTGAGCTGAATCTGTTCAAAGGGGAGAATCAGCAGCTCTGCACCAAGCTCCTTCCAGACAACAGAGCTCCTCACCCTATAATGAGGTTTATCCCAATAGTTCTATGGAGGGTGCTCATTTCAGACCAATTTACCAGAGATGCAGAAGATGACTCTTGGCGAACCTTGCCTGAATTTCTTAGACGGGTCTCCTGTCTTAGTCTGCTGTGAAAGCTCTCCTGCAGGCACCTGGTAGCTTTGACTTCTGGAGCTCACCTTGGCTTACAGTAGCCTGAAAAAGCAACTTATGTCTCTTCAATTCGGGATCCAGAACCCTGGGAGGGAGATTGCAATTGGATAAAACAGATGCTTGGAAGCAGGAAAACCGATTTGGCCTTTGGGTACTAATTGTCGGAATCATAACTTTATTCTAGGGCCAATCATGCAAATAATAATAATAAAAAAAAAATCCTGTTGTAAATAGTAGACTAGAGCCACAAATATGATGAGAATGTCTCCAAAATGCCAAGTTGGTTTTATGATTTTTAAACAAAAAAAAAGAGAAATGACTGAACTGCTAATACATGTTACTGTTTAGCCATGTAAACAAGTTATTTTGATTGTTTACCTTCACTTTTTAGATATTGTATCAGTTCTGTGGCCCATTTCAGTCAAGCTTGGATTTGGTTAAACTAAAAAGGGACAAATGAAAAATGTTATGCTTCAAGCTAACTTTGGATTGCTCCTTGAAATATATTTGTACAGTGTAATGTATATTTAACTAAATCTCCCTTAGAATACTTTTCAGTTTTTGCGTCATGTGAAAATGTGTCTACCTCTGGTTGATTGTGTTTGTATGTGTTACTGAACTCCGGGGAGCCATGCCGACATAAATCGAGCTACTGAGCCATTTCAGGAGAATTTCTGATGCAAAATGCCAAGAATGATGTATTTTAGTGGTTGAACACCCAGTGCACCATGAATGTACACACACAAAAAAATGCAAGAGACTGCAAATTCAATCTGGAAACAATTTTTGAGACAATTAGACTGGTGATTGGGAATTCTGTTACATCATGTTGTTAGATCAAAACCAACCTGTTTATTTTCTCACTGCATAGCCTTTAGGAATTTCTTTCATTCTTAAAAAAAACACATAAGGTTGACAAAAACATCCATACCCTTTGAACTGTTTTGTATTATGCTGTTTTACTACTCCCCTCTTAACGGCATCTTGATTTTAACTGAAGTCAAAAACTTTAAACATAGTAATAAGGAATTAAAAGGAAACTTTATGCTTATTTTTTTATTCTTCACCAATAAATAATAAAAATCGTTGTCTGCATTTGTGTTCAGATCCCTAAGTTAATCTTCTACAACCATAAGGTGTTAACTTTATTGCCAACACAGTCAAAATTCTTTTGTGGTTTGTACATGTAACACAAAACAGCTGAGAAAGTCTGAGAAAATAAATGTTCAAGTCTTTCCAGCTCTGTTTGATTTAGGCCTGGAGTTTGACTAGGCCATTCTACTTTGAATATACGTAGTTTAATTAAAAGCATCCCATTCTACCTCCATCTGTATGTCAAGAGTCGTTCTAGTGGAAGGAAGACATCTGCATCTATACCAAGATTAAATTATATTCATCTGGATGCAAATTAGATAGCTTATGAAGAAGTTTCGATGTTAAGAACAGTTTTGATGGGTAGTTATATAGGTCATATAGTTCAGATCTTTGAATTCCATTTTCACATGTATGCACTGCTTTGTGCTAGTTTGTCACATATTATCAAAAAATAATACAATAAACAATAGTATACTGAGGTTTGTTGTTGTTCTATAGTACAGTATAACATGGGGTTTAATTTATGGAGTGTGGAAACCTTTGAATAGCCCAGTGGAATCTAATCCGACTGTACTTTTAGTGACACACCCTTAGCATCGCATTGCTCTGCAATAGCTTAACATTTTTAAGAAATGAAGCCAAAAAATTTAGAAAACACATTATAATGGCTTAATATCCTAAATATGACAGCTTAACATCTGGCAGCGCAGCAGTACAAGCCATTTGCAGAAAAATCTTTAGAAGGGCCTGTGCATCTAAACAAATCTGACAACAGATTGTGAAAAATGAAGATGAAGAAATTGTTTCAGGTCTATGAAACGTGAACAGCAGCCAAAATGAAGGGCTTTTAAAGGTCAAATGATAAAGTAAGTTAAAAGTCAATTACAAGTAAGAAAATTCTTTCAATTTATTCTAGAGAGGGTAATGGATTTGTTGTTTGTGCTGTGGTGAGCACAGAGGCCTGACTGGAAGAAGCTGATGCAGCTGGGGAGCTTTGAGCTGGGCCTGTAGGTCTGCAGGAGCAGCTTTTACAAGTATTCTAAATACATTAATAACTGCGGATTTCAAGGTCGGTCTGGATGAAAACATCTGACTAAAGGGGTGTGTTATTATAAATGAGTCATCATTTTCATCATTGTTTATTTCCTTAACTCTGTCTTTTATTTTATTTTTTTTTTCATACGCTTTTTTAAGGTCCACATTTGTGTGATCACTTTTGTTATAATCTTCTGCTGCTGTAAGGCAACAATTTTCCCATTGTGAGACAATAAAGGAATTTTCTATTCTATCACAACTATGAAGCTGTGGGTGAAACATTAAGACAGCAGGAAGAAAAGCTTAAGTTGGTTTGAGTTTTCTTCTTAAGTTTTGTAGTTTATTAGGTCAAATTGTAAAATTTTGTCAAAATTAGCTGTAGTTGGAGACCCTGTCATAAAGGTCCTTTTTATTTACTTAACTATCGAGATCTTCCAGTGATTTGGCATCTTTGATTTTTTTTGGCCATTCTCAGGGGGACTGCTAGTCAGTCTATTCTCTACATTCAGCTTGCTAGCTGTCACTGTTTGGGATCACATGCAGAGTTTAATTTTTGCTGTAAAAGTTTTTTCAAAGAACTCGTGGGTGATGCAGGCATCTTGTACCGATTGGCTGGCATCGAGTTGTGCTTCTTTCAGATTTGCCCCCCAAAAAAGAGAAAATACATCCATTAGAAAAAAGTAATTTTATTCCAGCTTTTCAGTAATTTTGCCTAAGAGAAAAAAAAAAATTAAAAGAATGCAAACAAGCAGTGAAAGGGGGGTGAAATGCATCCGAGCAGGCAGAGAGGCAGAAGCAGCTCAGTTAACAGAAATTTTATTCACATAAAGTTTTTGATCAATGAGAAAGAAGGGAAGGTGGTCATAACGGGGTAGTTACCTGATAGTACTCTGGTTTCATTTTCTTTAAGAATGCATATCAAGAAATATTTGAATGGTCTATGGCATAGAGCAGATCTACCTTTTTTTAAGCTAACAAAGCTCAATGGATAATTTTGAATGTGCTTATCTAGCAGTTTTAGCCACCTTTAAAATAAAATATGCCTCTACTTTACAACGTGTCCTTCTTTTGGTCGTTGAAGACTGAAATAAATTGCAGACGATCCAGATTTGGCCCGTGGGCCTTGAGTTTGACACCTGAACTAAATTATATGAACAGTTAAGAGACGTCACTAAACATATCACTCATACTTGTCTGAACAACATGTCTGGTAACTTGTCCTTCACCGCATGTGATCTCAGCTGAAGTCTGTAAAAATAACAGGAGTGGCATCAAAGGCATTCTATGCCATCAAAGTTATATCAAACTGGCATCTCAGTTTAAAATCTATTAGGGTCTCAGGAGGCCAACGTTGAACATGTGGATTTGTCTTGAAAAACTTGTAAAACTAAAAAATTTACACAATGAACAAAAGGCATTTAACTACCAGATGTGGTCTTTGTTTGGGTTTTTTGCTGGAATTTATTAGAAAATGTTTCATGCACATCACCTCTGAGGAGACACATTTTGGTGGCAGTATCATATTGTTTGAGAGCTGTTTAAATCGGCAGGGACAGATAAGCAATCCTAAAAGTAACCTTGATGGAGGCTTGAGACTTGGGTGGTGATTTAGCATTCAGCAGGACAAAGAACAGGGCCAAAGCTAAAAATGGATTAAGAGCATATTCCAGTTCTGACCTTCTGAAATTTAAACTTTAGAATCTTTGCCAATACTTAAAGACAAATGTTTACAGAAGTCTTTGGATGAGATAAAGTGGTTAATTATCACGGGGGGAGACTACAAATCCATAAAAATGGAAACTATGCATCCTTTTATTTACACATTATAATTATAAACTTGTTTTTAGCCTGTTAGATAAAATCCTTTACAACCTGAGATTGTGACATAACCAAATATGAAAAAGAAACAGCTATTTTTTGTTAGACTATGTATATAGTATTAGTAATATCTCAATTTTTTTAAGCAACTGAAAAAGTAAAATACTGGAAAATGCTTCAGATATATTTTGTGGATGGGAGGGTTTTTTTTCTCCTCTATTATCGTTGAGGTATGAAGTTGATCCTCTGACCACAAACATTTTATGGTTCAATACCTTTCTTGAGGATCATTAAGCAGCAAACAGCTGCAGACTGTACGGTTGCTGGTTAGATCCTTAAAGTCATTGAGCTAGATCACATGCACTGGATTTATTACATGAATACACTCTGTGTGCTGCTAATATTTGGCAATCCCCATATCCAGTACAGCACAATAATGACTAGGAAGGGATGATATGAAGTCACATGCAGAAAACACCTGTGGAGCTACAGTAAAACAGGTAACCTACCCCTTGTTTCAGTAATCAATCCATCAAAAAATGTTATGTTTAGAGACGGTATGAACTCTTTTCTAGTTTATAAATGAGCCCAAGGTTGTGCACTGAATCATTACTTTCCAGTGCCAATGTTTCCTGTATTAAAAAAAGACATGTAGTGATCATCTGTCTTTGTTACCTTCTACTTTTTATCTTGTCTTTTAAAAAATAGCATCATAATAAGCAAACATAAAACCTGTAAGATAAAGGAATCTTAACAGAAGGTAGGCAAAATATGTCTAAGATGAGGTTAACACCTCCTTCAGTATGTATGCGTTTAGAAATAGAAAGAAAAACATCACACATGACAGTAAAGCGACATTTATTGTAGGTTTTTCCAGTTCAACCCATTAAAATGTAGTCAGTTGTGTAAACATTCTCCTGCCCTCAGCATGCCTCGCTTTAGTTCAACAGTACAATACAGATATTTTTTGACATTAGCTTTTAAATGTTGACAACTTGAATGCAACACAATTATTGTATGGGATCGTTAATATAAAAATACAATTAAATTATTTCCACCCAAGAGATGATAGGAGATCGAGTTTAGAGAATGAATGGCTGGTTAATCAATTTAGAAAGAGTACACAAAACAATTTTAAATCATTGCAGAACTTGTTACTTTATCCAATATCCTAAAACAAAACCATAACTATTAGGTTTGTTTATACTTCTGCCTACATATGATTAATTTAAATCAGATGTATTCAGTGGCATAATATTCTAACAAAGGCACTTTTCTCCTCAAGGTTTGAATGGGATTGCTCTAAAGGGTTGCATTTACAAATGGATAAATTACTTTTTATTTAGTTTTAAACTATTAAAGTAACAAAACAATCTTAAAAAGTTACAATAGTATTTGAGAGAGTCTAAAAAATAGACATATGAGGATTGATTGTTTTAAAATCTGTTTCATAACACAAAAAGGGAATTCATCCCAGTTATATAGCTCTGAATTCATGTCTTAGTAACTGCTTCTGAGGTACACTGAGGTATTGGATTGCCAAAAAAACAAAGATAAATCAGAGTATATTAAGGAGGTCTTCTGTTGTTATGTTTTAATGTACATCAATCAACCATTTTAAATTATTAGCTTAAAAAAACTAGATGATAAATCCTATGGATCTGTAATGAGATGCATCATATGAGAAATTCTATACTTGCCCTTTGACCTATCCCTGACAATAACTAAGTGAGTAATAATGCATGTTTTAGTCTTTTTGTACCAACTGTGACTCCTTGATGGAAAACAATGATGTCTGATGTCCTACTGACACTAAGGTGACGGGAGAATAGCTTCTATATAAACCAAATCAGTTTTAGGAAACTTCTGTCAGCTGGAACCACGTTAGAGAGCATCTTAGGAGTGCTATGGCTATGTTGACACAATCTTGGCCAATATAATCAGTAACAATGCAGCAAGTGGTCGGTAATGCTGAAGACAGGAGAACAAACACTTTTTGTCCAAGAATTCTGAGTGAGATTGGTGTTTATGTGTTTTCATTTAGCGTGTGTGTGTTGGTGTGTGTGTGTGAATGACTGAGTGAGACAAAGATGAGATCAGATCCGAGTCAGCTGGTGCCAAAAACTGGACGGCATGAAGTTTTCCATTTTGTCTGCAAAGAAGCCCAGCGGTGCAAAGAGTGTGCTGAAGAACTGAAAGTAAAGGAAAAGCATTAATAGGCCTTCAATTATCATGTCAGAAGCTTCTTAGTGTCAAAGATCTCCACAATTTACTGAAAATATGTTTTCAAAAGATAATCAAGAAGGCAACAGTTCTACCTGTAAAGGCAGTAATCATTCAGCCACAGTTAGGATGAAGCTATGACTACATCATTATCAGCCTTCAGAAGCACAATTTGCGTTGAATTCTTCTAATCTAATAAATGACTGGCATTTATTTACTTACATACATTTGACACTAAAAGCTATCAGTATTCTGTTCCAAAAAAACAAAGAAGTCTGGATGTAATCAGAGTTCAGTTTCACTTGCGGTGTTTTAGTATCAAAGGCAAATAATAGAAGGAAATTAACAAGCTTTATTTATGGCATCTGTTACATAATCCAGACCTGGGAAGTGAAATACAACAAATAGAGGACTTTTTTTATATATATATATATATATAAATCAAATCATAATTCTGAAAACAGAACTGCTAAGAAGATCATTTGGGAAGTTTTACAATTATTGTCAATCATGGAGCCTGCAGACTGTAAATATGGATTTGCAGTCATAGTAGCAGTTTCACCTCATTAGGCAAAGGAAATCTTTGAAATTCTCCCTCAACAGTTTCATGCTTTCTCACCGAGCATGACACAAACCAGGCCTACTGGATGTTGAGAAAAACTCTGCACTCAAGTTTTCACAACGCAAAGCAAAGCAAAGGTCTCTACGTTTTCTCTTTGGCCTCTTTTCATCCAGGATAAGAAAATGCACAAGTCAAAGTAAAGTTAGACGTAACAAACAAGTTAATCATAAACAAAACACTACTCCAAGGAGCATATGAGTGCTAAAAACTGTCACAGTTTATGTAACAAATAAATCCAATAGGAAACCATCCAACTATTTATAGTTTCGTAAGGGTATAGTGGAGGATGTTCTTTTTCCGGATGGATTATCAAAATAAGTTGTCCTCCTAAATGTCAATCATTCTGGTGATGTTTACGTATGGCCGTCCTATGTGCTCGTCCCCATTTTTACTTACCGGTGGTGAGTCTGACATAGTGGAAAAATTACAACTCTTATTTTGGAAAGTAAGCTTGTATGAGTGATGCAAACAGGAACCTTTTAAGAGAGCGTGCACGAGGAGAAATGGGCTCATGCATGCTCTCACGTGCATTTAATAGGTGTTCCCTCTCGGGAGCGAGTACAGTGCTGTGCAATTGAATTTTTAAATTTTTTTTTTTCAAGTTTAAAGGGCGGGTCTTTTTTAAAAATTTGTGAAAAATCCTCCACTATAACTTTAATTTGAGGCTACTGTGAAGCTCTAATTGTATCGAAGGAGACTGAAAGGAGAAGATAACCGCAAAAGGAGCTTAAAACTTTGGTGTTCACAATTAAAGTCCAACATTAAAGTAGCAACAGTTTACGGACGCATTTCTAAAAAAAATAAAATGGAAAAAAGCAACAAATTTAAAATATTTGATCATAAAAGACCTTTGAGGATTGACTGATTTGTGTGGTACTACTTACTGCTTTGGCAAACACACCCATAAGCTCAGGAAACTGATGTGTGAGCATGGCCAGCATTGCAGTGAAAGAGCAAAGGCCTGCTGTGAAGAGTATGAAGAAGGGAAGCTCTTTCTTTGGGTATACGGACACCTCGTGAAAAGCTGGAAAAGAATCAGAGAAATAAAGAATATTGTTATAAACCTTTTGTAGATGGATCAGATATGAGCTGGGCTCAGCTGGGAGGTTAAAGTTGCTTTAACATACAGGGCAGTAGTTCTCTATCCGCTGTTTCTGTACATCCTGGGTACGGGTAGAATAGGTGTCCCTTTTCCAGGGGGTAAGGAATTATCCGGAAGGCTGGAATGAGGAAATAATTATGTTATTTATAATAAAGATTTGATAAGAAATTAGGAAAATGTTAACATTTTGCTGCTTTTAAAGTGTTACTAGTACAATATAACAGAAAAATAATGGGTAGGGGGATACATACTGCCTTCCCAGGTGCAGTGTAACAGATTTAAGGCTCCTTCTGCTCTCTTCCAGTGTTGCAGGTGGAAGAAAGCGTATGCTACTGCCTCACTGTCCCCTCTCTTTAAGATATGCTCTGGAGGCATAATCAGGCTCTTCATCTCTAATAAGTACTGTAAATGGGATACAGAAAGTAATGTTAAATATCTGTCTTGCATTTTTATAATTTATTTTCTCAATTCTTCTTGATTATTTAGTCTGCGACAAAGTTTGACAAATAAAAAACAACAAAGGCCGGCACAGTCACATCGTTTTTGGGATCATCTCTATAAGCTTTTCCCATCTGAACATTTAAAAAGTTCTTAACAAATAAGACCAAAACTGAGTCCCATTAAATAAATATGAACTCAGCGTCTAACCACAGTTTGAGCTTGTTGCACTTTGCATAAAGGTTTCTGCTCAAAGGTCTGATTTTATTCCATGCAGTTTCACAATTTTTTTTAATGATTCTTAACTGTCTGGTATGAAGCTTAATGGTGCAACTGCTCCTCCTAATTTCCCTGCAGACTAAAAATATATTTGCACCATTTGAGGTTTTTGTTGAAAGCCTTATTTTGCAACTTTACAAAGTTTCCTAATCCTTTTGTTGTTATTCTTACAGTGCTTCACATGCATATAATGAATGTGTAACATGGCCGACTAAGCCCTCCATTCTTTCCCGAATGTATAGATTTATTCAGTCAGTTAGTGTTGACCACCTTTTTGACAGCAGTTGGCTAAATGGGCAACAAATGTGAACAAGTTTCTTTAAACGTAGATAAAGGTTTATCTTTAATACCTCTATTTAAAAAATATTTATTAACGGATATTAGAGACGTTGCTGCTGATTCCACCATCATTTTAATGAACCTGCCACTCTGTAATCTACCTCTGAGGTGCCAAGTGTTGCAGGGGACTCTGCTAAGCAAAACCCCTGTGCGAAGCTGGGGGCCCCCTGGGCTAGATTCCCAGGCGGCCAGCATCACAGAGCCCTGGATCTTAGACTGACACTTTGGGGAGGTTGGCCCACAGTTAATCCTGTCTAATCCCCTCCATGGTCAGAGGCTCAGCCAACCAGCCTGACCGCGCTGCTTGACCCTTCGCCCCCTGGATCGCAGCCTGCCCAGCCTGATCCTTCTTTTTTTCTACATCTTCTCTTCTTATTTCTCTTAGTTTGACAGTTGTCTAAGTTATAGAACTTGTTTAGTTACATCTAGGGTGGAATTTTCTTTGTAAAAGAGACAGAACATCAAAATGTGACTGTGAAGCATGTACAGACAACATTTTTCAAATATAGCTGAGAGACATCTGTAGCCTTTCATGTCCTTATGGCAGCACCAGAAACAAATGCTGTTTTATACTTTTGGACATCTGCCTTGCATTTCAAAGTTCATAAAAGAAATGTAGCTTTAAGTAAAGAATCTCCACATGTTTGACACAGAAGGACTGATTTACAGCAAGGCAAAGATAGCAAAATATGAATATATTTTTTTAATAAAGTCAAAATATATTTATTTTAGCCCAAAACACTCTAAAATGCCATATACACCACAAATACAAAGTAAAGCATGAAAATATGTTTAAGTTTAAAACAAATTTTCCAAAAACATCCCAATTCTATCCCATGGAAATCTATGCAGGCTTTCAGGATGCAGTGATGTAGATTCACAGGCAGCAACTTTGTTTTACTGTTTATCATTTCAAGCAACACTCATTTTACCACTAGAAGGGACTCAAACAGCTTTGAGCCTCTTTCCTGAGTTAGTTGATCGCTAAAATAAAACATAGCAAAAGACTGCCATAGTTGTAAATGTTACATAGGCCTTAAAATGCAGGATGCTGCATATTCAAAAGCCTTCATCCCAATGTAAAAGTGCTAGGCATACAACCTACTGATTCTCTGTGTGGCTCAATGTGCAGAGAAGAGGTGCAACCCAATAGGTGTGGTTTTGTTTCTAGCTTCCCCCTGTAACATGTTGCTGTATAAAGTAATAAAACCTAAGTTAACTAGAGATTTGCATATTATTGTTTGAATTTTAGCATATAGAGAACTTGGAATGGGTGCATGTGGCTTTTGGAATTTGGATTTATTGTGACACTGATGAATTCCAACTAATAATGCCTTAAAATACACCAAATTACTGTCAGAGTTTTATTAATGAAGCCTTTTAGAGCGTTTTTTGGAAAAGCTTCACTTTCGTCTGTGGGGCTATGACAGCTCTAAACGCAGTTGCGCTAAACATACTAAAAAAGGCCCATTTTGGCAGTGGCACGGGAAGGGGGGTGCTGTGGGGGCTGCAGCCTCCCTCGTCATAGCATCAGCCCCCCATGGTGGGGGGCTGTGGGGTAACATAATATTGTACTTAAAAACATGAAATTATTTATGTATTTATTTTTTAAAAGACTGTGTTTGATATGGGATTAAAATGATGAGCTGTGTATAAGATATTAACTAATGATTCATTATTTTAATATTTCATAAAAAACTAGGCTACTCCCCCTGAAGTGCTTCCGCCACCTTACATTCGTTTAGGCATGGCTAGCAATAGGCAGCAGAAACGTATTTCTGACTATTTCGAGGTGAGAAATGGTTTTAATTCCCCTATACGCTAGAATAAGGCTGCATATCACTAAATATTATGTCTGTATTAAGCTATTAAGTGATAAAATATGAAATAATTTTTTTTTTTGTGTGTGTTTTGTTTCAGACATGAAATCATTCCCCATATCCATAGTCGAATGGACTTTCAAGATGTTAAGTGCTCAGTTTAGGCTATATTTAGGCCATGTTTCATTCAAGTATTCCTGTTCCTGTTGATTGGGAGCTGTTGTTTGTTTTCAATTCAATTCAATTCAGTTTATTTATATAGTGCCAAATTCACAACTCATGTCATCTCAAAGCACTTTACAGTTCAACCAGATCATACGGTCAAATTGATACAAAGTTTTCTATCTAAGGAAAACCAGTTGATTGCATCGACTCATTGACTCAAATACAATCCCTCACACTAAGCATGCTTGTAGCGACAGTGGAGAGGAAAAAAAACTCCCTTTTAACAGGAAGAAACCTCCAGCAGAACCAGGCTCAGTGTGAGCGGCCATCTGCTGAGGCCGACTGGGGTTCAAGGAGACAGAAGCAGAGATACAAAAAGCAGCTGTAAAAGGCGGCCCCGTCCAGGAAACACACAGCCAGGCAGACGATCAATTTTGAATGATTAAAAGAGAAGATATAAAGTTTAAAATGTTCATGCTTTGTTCCGATGCATTTTAAACGGCAGTTTTTGGCGACAAATGTAGGCCTACAATATTATGTTAAAAACGTCAGCCACAGCCCTCAACATAATGACGTCATGTGTTTTCCAACCCAGCCATCAGCCCCCCTCGCTTGAAACAGCTTCCAGCGCGCCTGCATTTTGGTGTCATTACAATACTTTTAAAAAAAATATTGTGGCAAAATCTCAAGTTGATGTTGCCAATGCCTTTGCCCCTGCGTAAGCTTTTGGATTGGTTGGTACAATATGACTAACAGAGGCTACGTAAATTAACTCCCAATTATTTACAAAATAATAATTATTTACATTTAAAACATGAGAGGGAAATGCCAAAAGGCATTTAAATCCTAATGCTTTTTTTAAACTATCATGGTTTTTCATTAACTCAGTTGTATAGTAAGTTTGGAATTTGTATAAGACCGTTTGGAAATTAATCTATTGTGATTTTTAATTATTCATAAAAAAATTCAGGAACTTTAAGCTGGATTTGTTGATTAACAAAGACTGAAAAAGCGCACAGAGAAGTCTATTTAAAAAAGAAGGTTTTAGACCAAAGAGATCAACTGTCTGCTTACTGGGTTGTTTATCTTCATTATCATCATCAAAAACGGGGAAGACCTCCTCCTCTTCTAAATTTCTATAACATTTGATATTTCTTGTCATATGCTATCCTTTTGTGTTGACGAACATAACAATAAAGAATACTCTTTGAAACCCAGTCTCTATAAATCATTAGGTTAAAATTGTCTTAATTTTTTTACCAACTAAACAAACCAAAAAACAAAACAAACTTTATTTTACCTAGAAGATATATCTAATCAAGTGGTGAGGAAGGAAGCAAGGAAGGAAGGAAGGAAGGAAGGAAAAATCAAACAAAAGCCGAATCTTTCTGTACAATGAAGAAGCAAAGGAACTGTTATCTAACTTTTCCTCTTTCTTGCCCCATAGTACCAGGCTGCTCATAAGGAATTGATCATATTTAGCAGACATGCAGACCTGGCTCCTCTGTCTTTTAGATTAACCATTTAGAGAAGCTTGCAGATCAGCTGTTCTTCCTCACATGTTATGGCATTAGACTTGGTGACACCTCAGTCAAACAACCCCCTCAGCACTGCCCCTGTTCTGAGGTCTGGCTCTTTAGTCCCAGCCGCCTCTTTGATGAAGGGATTGAGTTTCATGTGTTCTCCTTTTATCCCGGGGCACTCATAAGCCCAGAACATAACCCATAAGCTCCTTCTGATTTTCTTCTGTGGCTTGTTTTGCCTCCAACACACAGAGAACAATGGCATCAGTTTTATATCTGCTGTATGATTCATGGGAATACACTGTAAATAAATGCATAAAGACATGGAAATACTGCTGTACTTCATATTACTATAAGAAGAATACACCTGAAACCTTCCAGCATTTGGCTAATTCCAAAACTACATGTCAATTCCTTTAACAGCTCTATTTTTGCTGTCTAAATCAAACATCATCCATCTTTATTTGATACGAACCTAATCCCGTTTCTCTGTCTCAATTTTCAAACCAAATAGCCAATTTTGGAGCTTTAACAAGAAAAGTCCGTACATCTGAGCTCTGACAGGCAATCTGGAAGAGAGAACGCCAACCAAAATGGGGTGTGATGAAAAACTGCTGTCTGAAATGGGGTAAACTAGCTAAATAACGGGGCTGAAATTACCAGAAGGGCTTGGAAATGCAAATGAATAGCAGATCTAGGTAGCAGAGAAATGTAGTCAGCTCTGAGGTATTTACAAAGCTGTCAGTTTCCTAAATGCAAGTTCTACATTGGCTAAATGTAATAGGCAGACAGATGGAGAAAAAATGAAAGATTAACAAAAGATGACATGAGGAGGAGAAAAAGAAAATAGAAATTGACAAAGAGAGTCTGAGAGGAAAAGGGAAACCAGCTGCATGTGAGGAGGACGGTGTACTGTTCACCAAATTATGTGTGGCTGTGGGTTAAATGTCTGAGGAGTTTTTACAGGCTTTGGCCAGCCAAATAAACTCCTGTGATAAAGCCTTGCATGATATGCGGATATAATCTTTTATGCACATTCATTATATGCCAATCAATTTATTAGTCAGACTCTTTCGGTAGGTCTAGTTCCGGTTTTCATATACCAAACTGATTCAAAGTGTCAAAAGCCAAAACTGACACCGATTTAGGCAGGTTTTATAATAAGTAAAAAAGGGTAATCACTTATGAGCATTTTTTTCTTAACCAGTTGAAAAAAAAAGATAAAAATGCTATGGATTAGGTATAAAAATTAGCATTGTTAGCTCAGCTACTATTAAATAAAACATCAATCCTTATTATCGGAGTCTCAAAGACTTTTTAGAAAGGCCATAAACTCCTTGATTTTGTGTCATAAACACCTCATTGACACCTGATAACATGAATTCACACCTGGAACACACCCAATAATAACACACTAATGTTATGAGCAGCCTCACTTGACTATGCAGGTGTTTGCACTAAGGCTGAGGGACAGGAATTCACTAGTTTCTTTTTTCTTTGAACCAACCAGCAGCATGCAATCAGTACCCGCAGAAAAAAAACTCCATCCTTTATGTTCAAATTGAGAAAAATACAAAATAAAAAGCCCCACTAATCCATTGTAGTTTCCACAGAGAGCTTTTATAAGTACTGCTTTCTTGTAAACCTGAAGTAAAAAAAAATAAAAACAGTCACAAAAATACAATTTGTCCTAACGAACAAATGGACAATAAGATGAAGTTATTTCGCCTATTTCTAGCTTCACCAAAATTACACTTTAGCCACATTTGTGTAATCGCACTATATTTCAGGGGGGAACATTTGCAGCCACTACTGAGCAAATGAGGGCAAAGTGGGAGGGTAGATTTTAACAGTGGGGTAGCTATGAACCAGCCACAGTGGCGGGTTGCAATTTGATCAGAAAAAATATTGTTCACTTTTCACAAGTGACTTCTAGTTGCTGCTAAACTTCCCCCATTTCCATTAAAAGTAGAAAAAATAAGCAGTAGTTCAGAAATGTGATGTTAACAGCTGTCACATACAAGCACATACGTGTACTTGTATAAAGGTGTATTTACGAGGCACACTTAGGGCTCATTATGGTTATGCAGCATTTTTAATGGATGGGACTTCTACCCATTGTATTTAAACTGCACCAAATAATCTGGCAAACTCTAGGGACGATCACAAACCGCAAGCTTACGACACCAAACTACATGTAGAAGAAGAAAGCACAGTTTCTTCCCAAATTTTCAGTGCCTCATTACGTTCCTCCGCTTCTCTCCAAGATCTGTTCCCAATCTGTTGATTATGGTGATTTTTATCACGCCGGGCTCAATGGAGACACAAAGCAGACGTCTGCTGGACACGTCTGAAAAAGCTCCAGCTTTAGAAATGTGCATGCAGAGTCCCGCTACGGACTGCTCAGGGGGAGAAAGCGTCTCAGTCAAACTTTTTGAAGTGACACTGAGCTGAAATACGGAGATGTTCACAGAAAGCGGGCATGGGGACACACTGCTGTAACATTCAACATAATCATCTTTACCTGGACTGGAACGCAAACAGAGATTTTGTAAATCATATAAAGTAATTTAATTACCGTCATACGACTGCCACTAGCAAAAAATAAAACAAAATTCTAATGACATTCACCATGTGATTTTACACTGGTGGGATGGACTATCATCAGCATGATGCTACCCCCGATATTTCAAAATAAAGAAAAGATCTGACTTGAATAGTTTTAAAGAAGCATACCTGTATGTTACACCAAAGAAACATTGCGGTTGACAAATTTGTAGCCAAAGTGGCTGGTAAAGAAATTAAAATAAAATTTCCATTCCTGTCAAAATGCACAGATTTATACACAAATATGCAGATTGGAAGAAGTATAGGGGATATCAAGTTATTGCACAAGGGCATGTGGCAGAGGAGAGCTTGAACTAGACCAACAATGAACAACTGATTTGTTCGGTTGTTTCAACTGAACAAATCTGATTTGAACTGATTTGTTCAATAGTGTTTGTTTCCAACACTATTGTCCAAATTTTGATATGAATAAATTGATATGAGTTTTTGTACAGCAATATACAATACAAGTAAATAAAGTTTCTTACTGTTATTTTGGGACAATAATGACAAAAACAAACTTTGCTAATCCATTTTAAATACAATTTTAATCACATAAGTATATTATGTGTACGGCTGAGCATCTAATTGCATATGCTCCATAATCACAATTTAATAAAACACTTTTTTTTTTAATTTTCACTTTCTTACCCCCCTATTAGTCGCTTTAACTGTAAAACAAGCCACGCTAACAGCACTGTTTTTTTATGCCATATATTTATTTTTATTTTTTTTATGATGACACATTATTCCTTGAAAAATACATTAGACTACATATAGTGTTTCAAAGCAAACTTCTTCAAGCAGTGCTCAAATGAGGGTTAAAGTCAAGCAAACAAATAATAAAGGTGAGGAGCAGATACATTCATAGGTATAACATGGCTTTCTAAACTGAGACAAATTTTGCCTTGTAGACCCACACTGACATCTGCTGGTGAACCTGCAGTATGACAGCCCTGTCGGCTGTAATGTTCTTGATCACTGTTATTGAAAATGTATCCCCAGTCAAAAAAACAAAAATATAAGAACGTTAGTGGATCAAATTATTTATGAAGATATTCAATACAGGTACACAAATTTGATTTAATTATTAATTTTTAAAGTTCAGAATAAAATGTTTTAATGTAAAGTTTGAAGAAGATGTAGCGGAAATTTATTTCTTATAGGGACAATTTTATTCAATAACGGTGAAAGGACTTTTGAACATATTTACAAAATTCTAATATACATCATAGTCTATATTTTCAGTGTTCTTTAAGGACTAGGTTTTATGTTTTATCTGCTTTTTTTAAGCAAATATTTCAAAAATGTTATATTAGAGGGGTTTTATAAACATTGCAAAATAATTGTCATAAGTATGCATGGGATTTTCTTTGTGGTCTGTCTTTGCAGTCTTTCAGAGCCTGTTATTTTATTAAAATCGATATATTGATATTAGACTGTATTGACCAAATTCAAGAAATTTATAGTGATATAAGTGATGGTCGTATTGTAGAGCCCTACCTTTGGCACATGTGGATTGAACTCAACAGCTCTGTGTATCGCCTCCACAGCATTCATCTCTGCTGTGCTCAGCCCTCGTCTGGATGCTGCTTCTGGAGAAAACCTTAAAAACAGTAGAATTTAAATGACATGTACAGGAAATTGGCTAGGCTATCTACAATACATATACAGCAGAAAGGAACATACTTATCTGAAACTGCTCGTGCTTTCAGCAGTGCTGATGTATAGCATATAGTGGCTGATTTTGGCAAACTGATGTCTACAAGAGAAGCATAAATTGTTTTATGGAGGTTGCAAAATTACTATAACCCTATTTTTTGTTAAATGTTAATCTTCTTTTTGGTCTTACCATCATATTTTGCCAGGACAGCCTGAACATCAGCATATGCCTGGAGCTCCAAAAGTGCCTCCAGGAGATTTTCATGTATATTTAACATTCCCAACAATGGGAACTCTTTCATTAACTGAAAAAGCGGTTTAAAAAAAAAAAAATTACTGCCATAAATCCTTGTAATATTACTACGCATTTAAATAACTATAGACAGAAACTCACATCTCTCATCATTTTTACTGCTTCTTTGATCCGGCCCAATTTGCGTGCACACATCGCCAGTCTGCGTTTAATGTAAACCAGTAGATTGATATCTTTCCCAGCTGTTGGTTGCAAGAATAAAATAACAGATATTAAAGTATAAACATAACTAAGCTAAATATCATGGAAACAGAGCAGCAGTTTAAAGAAGGTGTTAATTAGCAGAAATCCCTCAGTGGGTTAACAGAAACTATTATACTGAGTTTAAATGTGTACTGTCAAAATAAGAGCAACCCCGGTTTGCCATTATAAATTAAACAAGTCTTAAAATATAAAAGATTAGTTTGACATACGTGCATTCATGTAAAAAGAGCCTTATTTGTTTGTCATCCAAAAATCCAGTAGATTTTCTATATTGCATATTATATTGCATTTGACTTCATCAATCATCATACCAAATTTTTTTGGTTCCCTATCAACAAACCAGATTGAATGAATTTTTTTGTGTCCTTGAGTAGATATCCATACAAAATAAACAAACAAAATAGCCAGATTGAACAAAAAAAAACATGTTATATTAATATATCATATTTCAGGAACTAATGATAAGACATGCCCATCCTTACCAAAACCCAATGCTTTTCTAAAGAGGCGTTCAGCTTCTGTGATGGTTGTAGCTTCTTCTTCTGCTAGAAGCACATATGCAGCAGCACATCTATAAATGCAAACAGAAAAAACATAAGAGCAAAGAGAAAAAACTATTTGAAGCTGAAAATTTTTATCCTACCACAATATGCAGATGTAATCAATAAGAAAACTTTAAAATGGCAAACTTCCTATGAAGGGAAAAACATAAATTCAAGAAGACTGATGCAAAGAAGCCTTTTGGACAATTATTTCTATAATTAGTCTTAGAGCCTAAGACATAGGCAATTTTTATTGTCATTTTGTATACACAGAGGGTATACAAACCAAATTTTTTTGTGTTCAGCTTTTAGAAAGTGAATGAGCAGCATCTTAGCAGAGAAATGAACATTTCCATTTCATAAAGTGCAGCAGTGATCAAATGTAAACATCGTGGGAGAAAAAAGCGTGGTGAAAAAACACATTGTATGGAGGTTCAGAGCATTCTTTGTCTCACTCGCAACATTTTTGTACTGCACCAATCCATCGCGCGGTGATGAAAACCAACTAACTTCTCACCATTAGCTCTGACAGCTGATCCACCAGTGAATTACATAGAAATTAGTTTTTTCATCCTTCTTTATCATTGCATGCATCCCAACTGAACAGCCAGACTTCACAAACCAGTCTGGAAATGCTTTAAAATGTTGATCTTTGATACAAATGTTTCGTTTAAGTTGCATAAAAGGTTTGAATTAGCAAACTGGCAATTAGAGCTGAAACAATTAAACAGATTGATTATAGGAATAATCAACAACTAACTGAGAAATTAATTAATCCATAAATGGAGAGAAGAGACTCAAAAACATGCCATTGGCTAAAAGTGGAATGCACTAAGAGCAATAATTATATCTAAATTGTTTTAAAAAATGTAAAAACATGTTGCATTCATTATGAAAAACCTTTTTCATCCATCAAAATGCTCTAGCCAGAACAGATCATTGAGCTTAGTATTAGCTTTAGCTTCTGGTTTAACTTCTGTATAAAATCTTCTTTAAGAAAAATTTTGCTATTTGATTATTAATCAAAAAATAATCAACAGATTAATCAATAAGCAAAATAGTTGTTAGTTTCAGCTCTTTTGCAACTATTAACCCAATAACATAGGTACAGATTCTAGGTACAGTTTAGGTCTGGCTTAAACCGTAATGTAAAAAAACTATATCCGATAGATCTGCATTGGTTTAGTTTCGTTTTTACTTTAGGTTTCTATCTGTGATCTTAGACCTGACAAGCAGCTGTGTTAGAGCCAAACTTACTCATGGTTCATTTCTATGGCCTGGTAAGCAGCTCTGATCCTGGCCTGAGGATTTCTTTCTCTCCATGCCTTCTGCATCACTGTGGGCACATAAAAAATAAAGCTTATTCACAAGACCTCTAAGATCTTCTTTAGTATATATATATATATATATATTAGTGCTGTCAAAATTATCGCGTTAATGCGAGGCCATTTTAACGGCGATAATTTTTTTAACGTGAGATTAACGCTATGTGGTTTTATGGTACAATTTTCCAAGTACATCCCGCTGCAGCCTGCGGGAAGGCGGGGCTATTTTCCCCAGTCTATGCATTTTCCATAGGCTTCGAGAGCGGAGCTCCTCAAGGAAAAAAGACGCACACACTGGGTGGCGCTAGTGCCTTTTCTTTAAGCCCCACCACCAACAAACAAGTTGAGTGTCTGGTAACTAGTAGCAACCTGAAATACGCTGAGAAAACAGATTACTGAGGTGAAATGGAATCTACGGCACTCTTGCTGTCTGTGTACGCCACAGGTCGGTATCGTGTGTGTGTGTGTGTGGGTGGGTGTGTCTGTGTGTGTGTGGGTGGGTGGGTGTGTGTGTGTTCTCATTTTTGTTAAGAGGCTGAAAAGTAACTTTCTAGAGCATAGACTACCTCCATCTAGTGATGTCGGTCTATTGATTTTGATGTATTGATTGAAAATTGTTCATTATTATCTTGGTTAATTAACATCTAATGTTAACTGTACTACATTTTATAGCAGTAGGGTAAAATGCTTGTCTTTGTTCAAAAGACTGTATTAACTGTAAAGACTGTCTTTTACATCAGCCTGTTTTCAGGGCCTTTTTTTTTTGGCTACATATTTGTTATTTTTTGCTACATGCCTCCCCATCTTCTTGCCATATGTTTCTATGGCATAAATCAGTATCTGTGACCTGTTTTCATTTTAAAAAAAGAACATTGGCACAAACCTAGCCTGTATGTATTTTTTGTATGTCATCGAGAGTATTTAAATGATTTTCAATCAGAAAAAAAATGAGCGATTAATCGCGAGTTAACTCAGGCATTGATGCGATTAATCGCGATTAAAAAAATGTAATCGATTGACAGCACTAATATATATATATATATATATATATATATATATATATATATATATATATATATATATATATATATATATATATTTTTTTTTTTTTTTTTTATTATTATTATTTTTTAATCTGAGTAAAGACAGTTCTTTAACAATTACACAATAGTGACATTTACACACCTGCATCCTCTGGCTTTAACTGTTGAGTATCTCCTGTAAAAAAGGTCTGATGGTCTTGAGCAGACAGGTTCATATCATAGTAGGTTAAAGGTTCCTTCCCTGTCACCCAAGTGTACCTGTAGTAAACATTGCCAAAGCTATTGCTGAAGTCACATGTGTCACCAAAAAAAAAAAAAATGACAACAGCAAAATATTTATTTTCCTGCTATGATTATATAACACATAGGAGTGATCATTTTCAGAATCTTTTATAAAATCCTGAACCCATTTGTACCTGTTGTATTCTGCTCCTCTGAAAAGGTTCAAAGGATTCCTCCAGACTTTGCAATCTACCAAAACCAAGACATTCCATCAATACATGGCAACTTAAGATTGCTGCTCCTTTTAAGAATATGGGGCATGTTTGGATTTACCAGAGACGCTGGGTCTGGGCTCTGCCTCTCCATTAATAGATGAGAAGAGACCGGTTGATGAGCCGCTCTCCACTCCACCCAGCAGAGGACGCAGGTGGCTCACAGACACTTGCTCAATAAACGATGTTCCATACTTGCGAAAATACCACCACTCAAATATCTGTTGTAAGCAGAAAAAAACATGCATGTAAAATAAATACAAAAATGACAGTTTTGTGGTTATTTTGCTGACATTATGACATTGCAAATGCTCACATAAGAGAATATGCCAATACTGCTAAAATTAAAGTACTACTATTATGTCTTATTACATTTAAACAGACAACACAGGTCACTGAAAGAAGGGGTTAAACACATGTACAAAAATATATATATGAAATAAAACTCTTGTAAAGAAACTTGCTTGTATAAAAACATTCCTTATGAAACATTTTATTTTGTCATCATTTTAGGTTTGGAACTTTATTTTATGAGGCATGAAACCTTCATAAAGGGTTTTTGTTTAGAATTAGTAATATAATGAATGTGCATATATATAAATAAAAAGATAATTTCCATCCTAAACCAAATTTAACCATAGAAACTTAAAATGAGATTGCAGGGGTGTGCACATTCTGTGGGGATGCTGTTGTGCTGGGAGAATCCCATCACCAGAGCATGGGTATATTCTCTTTGAAGCATCAAGATCTGAGGTTTGTTAAAAAATCTGTTGGGTTATACAGCTACATATATAAAATGTTCTCTGAATCGGATATGTTGAAGCATAAACAGTTAACAAATATAAAAGAGTCAGGCTGTTCCTTTCTTTGCATTTTTTTAATTATTTTTAGGCTGTAGTGGCTCTTATTTTCTAATATTTGAAAGTATGTAAACAAGAAATTAGGTTACGAGACGGGGGAGTTACATTCGGCAAAGCTCAAAAGGACCATGACGCAAACCTACAACAGCTGGTATATGGGTCATGCACTAGGTGACCTGTCTGGCAATGTGGCAATAAGAACAATTGTCTTGATGCCAAAAAGAGCCCAACTGATTTTACTTTCACAAGTGGAGCAGTATTGCTATCGCCATAGTATTTCACTTGTTTCATTCATATAAATTGCTTTATTATAATTCATGCAGGGAGTATTACAGATTATATGGGTAAAGCAATTTAAGTAGGTCAGGAAAGGAAAAAGAGGAAAAAAAGGAGAAAAGATGGAAGAAAGAGGAGATAAAAGAGGAGATAAGGATAAAACATCTTCAGTCTGCTTCATCACCTGCAAAGAGATGTAAAAAAAAACCAGCACAACCAATGGATAAAGTATAAGAGATACAATAAAGTAACACCTTGGTACTGTTACTGAAGTATAAGCAGAATTATTTAATCTGACATGTATACTGTGATAGCTGAAGATAAGAATACGGGCTTTCTCTACCTCCACACCATAGGAGCACCCAAGCTGTCACTTTCTAACACATTACAACCTAAAAAATACTAGAGTTGTTGAAAAAACAAACACAAAGTGTGCTTCAATAAAGTACCTTACATACACTATATTGCCAAAAGTATTTGCTCACCTGCCTTGACTCACATATGAGCTTAAGTGACATCCCGTTCCTAATCCATAGGGTTCAATATGACGTCGGTCCACCCTTTGCAGCTAGAACAGCTTCAACTCTTCTGGGAAGGCTGTCCACAAGGTTTAGGAGTGTGTTTATGGGAATTTTTGACCATTCTTCCAGAAGCGCATTTGTGAGGTCGCACACTGATGTTGGACGAGAAGGCCTGGCTCTCAGTCTCCGCTCTAATTCATCCCAAAGGTGTTCTATCGGGTTGAGGTCAGGACTCTGTGCAGGCCAGTCAAGTTCATCCACACCAGACTCTGTCATCCATGTCTTTATGGACCTTGCTTTGTGCACTGGTGCACAGTCATGTTGGAAGAGGAAGGGGCCAGTTCCAAACTGTTCCCACAAAGTTGGGAGCATGGAATTGTCCAAAATGTCTTGGGATGCTGAAGCATTCAGAGTTCCTTTCACTGGAACTAAGGGGCCAAGCCCAGCTCCTGAAAAACAACCCCACACCATAATCCCCCCTCCACCAAAGTTTACACTTGTCACAATGCAGTCAGACAAGTACCGTTCTCCTGGCAACCGCCAAACCCAGACCCGTCCATCAGATTGCCAGATGGAGAAGCGCGATTCGTCACTCCAGAGAACGCGTCTCCACTGCTCTAGAGTCCAGTGGCGGCGTGCTTTACACCACCGCATCCGACGCTTTGCATTGCACTTGGTGATGTATGGCTTGGATGCAGCTGCTCGACCATGGAAACCCATTCCATGAAGCTCTCTGTGCACTGTTCTTGAGCTAATCTGAAGGCCACATGAAGTTTGGAGGTCTGTAGTGATTGACTCTGCAGAAAGTTGGCGACCTCTTCGCACTATGCGCGTCAGCATCCGCTGACCCCGCTCCGTCAGTTTACGTGGCCTACCACTTCGTGGCTGAGTTGCTGTCGTTCCCAAACACTTCCATTTTCTTATAATACAGCTGACAGTTGACTGTGGAATATTTAGGAGCGAGGAAATTTCACGACTGGATTTGTTGCACAGGTGGCATCCTATCACAGTTCCACGCTGGAATTCACTGAGCTCCTGAGAGCGACCCATTCTTTCACAAATGTTTGTAAAAACAGTCTGCATGCCTAGGTGCTTGAATTTATACACCTGTGGCCATGGAAGTGATTGGAACACCTGATTCCAATAATTTGGATGGGTGAGCAAATACTTTTGGCAATATAGTGTATATTTTGTAGCCTGGTTATTGCAGTTTACCCCAAAGATAATTAGTTTTTTATCTTAACTAAATTATTAAGACTGAATCCTTAAAAAAAAAAAAAGAAGATACCTTACAATCATTATTTTTAAAACATTAAATCCTTTGATTATAACAGGTTTGTGTATACTTTTCACTGTAGATGGGAATATGCATGCCAATTAAAGATCAAAAGAAAAAAAAAAAGCTGTATTTTTGTTATCCTTCATCCCATACTGTTAGCACAGATATAGCACAATAAAACTAAGCAAAATATTAAGATTAAAGCTTAAATAACTGAGAGGAAAAACTCACAAGGATAAGTCCAGAGATGAGGGAAGAGGTTCCGGTGAGGGCCACGTAGAATTTAGGAGTAAGAGTGTTCAGAAACACAGAAGCTAAAAAAAAAACAAAAAAAAAAAAAAAAACAAGTAAAAATTAGAGCAATTTAGGCCACAATATGTTCTGTAACTGTATGTTTCACAACAAGACGATAAAAAAAGAGAAAACATAACAAATAGTTTAACTTCTTCCGTATTATACTCTCCTCGCAGTCAAATTTGATGCTATCTTTGTTAAATTTATCCAAATAAAATAACCTGCAGAATTTCAATAAAATAAAATATTTGTAAAAATATGAGGGGGGGAAAAAAAAGTAACCCTCAATTAAGAAAATATAACCAAACAATAATTTCCACATCATTTTTATTTATGTCACCAGGCAACCAACGAGCTGTCAAAATATCGGCTGCTGAGATAAAAGCTACAGAGCAGAAGGCTAACAGCAGGTAGCATCAAACTGCTTCAATTTACCTGAAGTAAGAGTTTCCTGCAGTTTCAGCGGGCTCCATACGACATATACCATAATTAGCACCATGCCGAACCAAACGAAGCACACGTAAGTCCATGACCAGGAGAGCCAGGACTTCAATTTCTCTAAAAATCCGAGAGATGGGGGATTACTGCCGATGGTGTCCTCCATGTTTCTCCCCGGATGTCTATAAACAGAGGCGTCACGTGACAAGCGAAGTGCTTTTATTTTGGAGCTGTAAAAATCCATTTCCGGAAATCTCATCGAAGGTTAAAATAAATACAATAAATAGAAAAAAATGCGTATATATAATTTAATTAGTATACTTAATGTTACATACATGAATGTCACATCTATTTTGGGCTTTGTATATGGATATCAATTTAGCATTTTATTATGTCAATCTAAAAAGAAAACAAAATTATTGAGGAATTTTCCTAATCTATACAAAGTAAGTACCATATAGATGGGCTTTAAAATATATACATAAAAGCCTACTAATATGTGCACCGCTCTACAAGCTGCAGAGGCCATAAACAAGATTTTGGCATTATGTGTTGACATTTTATGATAATGATAGGTCTCATCAAAAAAATAAAATAAAATGTCAATCATGATTTTTCAGTTGTGATGAGGTCACATCTGTTCTAAAAAGTTAATGTCGGTCATCTTTAACCATTTTTGTGTCCTGATGGAACACCCAATCTGCATAGTTTCAGCCATGTGACCCAACCTGCACCCATCATAAAATTGATTTGAGATTAAAAGAACAATCATAGTTTAAAGAACAAAGGTTCTGTCTGTTTTTAGCTGAGATACACTTTGAAACAATTAATACCTCCCACTGTGAAATGAGTAGAACATCAACATGGATCGAGCGGCCTCTGACAAAGAAATGTTTGAATATATCTGATTGTTGGTTAACTTCATGATTCATTAAAACTACTATTTATTTTTAAATCTTTGTTACGCCTTTTATCTCTGAGCTCCTACATCAAATGTGCCACTCTGCTTTCTAAGGGCAACTAATCTTTTACTCCTATCTGTACCAAGAGCCAATCATAAGCACAGAGAGACTTCTCTGACTTCCCTGTAGAGCTGCAGAACTCTGGAAGGATTTTCTGTTCTATATTATGCAGTCTTCCTCTTTGGACATGTTTCAACCTCAATAGTTGTATAAGTATTTGTTGTCACCTATTTTCATCAATTTTATTCAATTCAATGGTGATTTTTATATTTCTTTTTTTCATACGGGACTTGGATTTGAAATTCAACATCTCCAAATTCAACACATTCCCCTCGAGGGAAACGTTTTATGGTAATTAGAGACCAGCGAACCATGCTAATGTTCTGTTTTGCAACTTTGCACAAAATGGATAGAGATGCAAAAAAAAAAGGAAAAGTCCCTCCAAATTCTTCAACCTTTATCACAAAACAAATGGACAATAATTGCAGGTTAATAAGGCTTCTGGTTTGCCTGATAGCAGAGGACAGTGGCAGGAAACCAACCCAGCCTGTAAAGAATAGTTCTCATGTTTAAAACAACAATCCCAGAAATCTAATGTGTTTTGATTAATATCTAACCAGAAAATGTGTGTATAAAGATATTGGAGCCTGTATATATGTTCATACTGTTTCCTTTAAAGAAAATCTGTAATAACTTTTAACTTGTCTAATCAGTTCTTCATTCCATTGTCATTAAAGTTATTTTATTTTTCAACCATGTTTTGTGTTTGTAAACTTCCAGCTGTATTTCAAATATCCCATTGGTGCACATGGATTAGTAAAAGTTTAACTTCACATCCTAACTCATTTATGAAAACATATTCATAACAAATACTAGTTCCAAGGATGAAGGTTATATAATCTCTCAAGTTTTTTTGGGGATAAATATTTAGAAACAATATGAACAGATTTTTTTTTTTTTTTTTTTTATTTAACCTTTATTTTACCAGGAAGTCCCTTGAGATAAAATCTCTTTTTCGAGGGAGACCTGGCCAAGAGGCATCAGTACAGTAAGACATATAAAAACACAGGACAACATAATAAAAATCACTTGTAACAGTTGCACGTATATTTTACTTAAAATTAACATGTGCAAGTCTTCAAATCATTTCTTTTACTAGCTAAGTGGTAAAGCCTCTAAAATAAACACGTTGATATAAATATTATTATATTATAAATAAAGTCTACTTTGTAAGTCAGGCTTATATCATTGCTCTTTATATTTGTTAAGCTTCAGGGATCACTTACAAACAAGGAATTTAAATAAAAATCTCATCCTTACCTAATAATGTTGTTTCTTTTTTGTTGTTGATGGCAGCTGCTCACTGCTGCTTCTACTGCAACTGAAGTCCACTATGGGGAGCAGTTGGACCACCAAAACACTGGCCTGCAGCTTCTGTATGCTGTCTGCAGGTGGAGACAATTCACATGTCCAAAATCAGTTTTTTTTTTATCAGAATGTTTTAGAGAATTATATCTACAGAAATGCAAGTTTACCATTTTATTGATTGTAGATAAAACACTTAGCAATTCTTTATCCACAATTAGCAAATTAGCCTCATTACTAGTTTACATATATCAAAATTGTAATGGTTTTATCTTAAATTTTAATCACAACCAAGTAAACCTTCTAATTCCACAATTTACATAATCAACATGTATGCACAAACTAATGCTCTCTATGAAAAGTGTACTCGTTTGATCTAAAGATCTGATTTTGGATTCTTCTATCTTGTAGCAGATCTTAACTTGAAGATAGATTGGTAGAATCATACTGTATCTTCTGAGCGTTCAGGAATAAATGTGATTTGTAGGAGTGCATTCTTGTTGGAGGTTAGAGTCGCTGAATGACAGAGAACCAGATTTGGTCCTGCTCTCTCATGCCCTTGGGTGTTTTCTACCTGATGCTGATGGACAAGAACATGCAGGGTTAAAGGCCTGTCATATAAATCAGGTACAGTCACTTTAGAGGTGAAAACATGCATGATGCTACTGACAGGGAAGGAAGAGTCGGAAAGGAAAAAAAAAAGTAGATTCAAAGAGGAAAAGAAAAGGAGGCAAGACAGGTTTGTAAAATTTAAACTGCATTGCTGAAAGTATTCTTATATGAATCATTTTTTAAATTACTTTGGCTGTAACCCAGTCCAGAATGCAGCTTAAATTGCATTATCCTTTCAATTTTTGCACTGCTTCACTTATACTGATAAATATCAACAGAGATCCATTTGAATGAATGCATACAGAGTTACAAAAGCCCTCCCTATAATTTAATCATACTGAATAAACGAAAATACAAATCCTTTATTAAATAAGGCTTGGATAACTTTTAAATAAACCATCTGCAGAAGTAATGCAGAGTTAGCATTATTATAAAACTGCATGTAAGAGCTGCTACCTTAGCATACACCGCACTCGATCAGCTAGTGTCCAGCCATGCAGAAGCAAAAACCCTCATCCTTCTGCACTCACCTGTATACAGTACTTAAGGTTCATTTACAATTTCACATCTGGTATCCATCCAGCCATTTTGGACTTCATGTTCTGTTTATGTAGTTTCTTTCTCTTCCCTTCCAAGGCTTTTAAGAGTTCCCTAATCATTCATAATTAAATAGGGTTTTCACTTAAATGCTCTGCATTTCTCACTCTCGTTATTGCTTAAGAGGATCCTTTTCTTAAGGCTTTAAAATACCTGCTTTTCTCTGAACAACATTTGTCACAAAAATGTTTAAGCAGATAGTGTTTATTTTTCAAAAGGGATTTAATTGAAAATGTATTTTGAGGTATTTAGGAATGCTGCAAATGCATTGCAATAGATCTATAAAATGCCAGTGAAGCATTCAAATGTATCTGAAACAGAAATTTGGGTACAATGTCAGTTGATAACTTGTGGAGTTCAGTTTGAGTAATTCGGTTCACTGAACAAGTGCATGATTTTTGACTGGCCGTTTGTCAATTGTGCATTTGGTGGTCTCCACTGATGGAAAAAGTCAAACTTTATGAAACTGCTCTCTGTCTCCCACACTGCTTTCTTTTGCTGAGTTTATATTACTTGCCTCCATTAAGGGACTCTCCCTCCACAAGTCATTTCTCTCAAAACACTTCATTTTCAGAAAAAGCATGTTCTTTTTCTTTGCATGCTGTTTGACCACATCAGAAAGCAAGCGTGCCTCAGAACAATGACTAACACAGAGGCCAATGAGAAACATTTCAACATCTGTCTTAATAAATCTAGGAAGTCAAACAGACCCACCATTAAAACAGACATCATAAAAGACATAGTTGATATCATGTTACAGCTATTTAGATGCACTGTTATGCTGAAGCATCAAATTTACAATTTGGACAACATGGGTAACAGTTAACAGTTAAGGCTAATGTTTGCAATTACAGAAATGTGCACAGAACACACACACATAATGGTCTTGCTTTATGCAGCGAGGACTATTTTCATTCTATGACTTCGATTGATATTCAATAATTTCAACCTTTTCTATACCCTAACCCTGAGAATGAGCTTTACCGTACCATTACCAATGCACCCTTAATTTGACCTAAAGTCAAATCTAGACTGCTGCCTTCAACATCTTTGTGTAAAGATGTTTTAGTTTGGTCTGATTTTTTTTTAGAGTAGTCCTGTTTCTTTAAAGCTTGGTTTATGCTTGCCTTGTCCACGAGGTCAGCACAGCCAAATAACATAATATTTGGCCTACCCACTCTTCCAAGCACCCTTTGTGCAGACAGAATTTCCACACCACGCACCTAGAAAGTTTTGTAACTACGAAGACATGGTGAGAGAGCAGCAGTTCCTACCGGAGCCGGCCAGAATGGGGGAAAAGCCACATAGAGTATGGCATAAAAGCTGTGAGAGGCAACTCATTTTCACATGCAGACTTTACATATGTCAAAAATAACCCAACCTTTACTGTGAATAACTGTATGGGCTTCCCTCTCATCCTTTAACGTGGGAGCTGGCTCGGAGCTCGTCTGCCTGGTTGTGTGTTTCCTGGATGGGGTCGCTAGTGGAGATGGTTGACAGTTGCCTTTTGTATCTGCTTCTTTTTGTATGTCTGCTTCTGTCTCATTGAATGTTACCACTGAGCCTGGTTCTGGTTCTGCTGGAGGTATTTTCATTTTAAAATTGAGTTTTTCTCTCCACTGTCGCTACATGCATGCTTGGTGGGAGGAATTGCTTTCGAGTCAATGAATCGACGCCATCAGCTGGTTTTCCTAAGACAGAAAACCTTGAACTAATCTGACTGTATCATTTGGTTGAATTGTCTCTGTAAAGTGCTTTGAGATGACGTGTTGTCATAAATACGCTGAATTGAATTGAATTCACACCTTAGTCCTAAACTTAACCCCCAGTTCGAGAAGAGAATATCTCTTCATGGGGGCAAGCCCTCGTTCCATCCAAGTACCTACAGTATAGGGCACTAAAATGTAGCCTATTATAGGGACATTGTTCCCACATGATAACAAAAGCATGACTGCATGGTTATTTGGATCTGCATGTAACCTTATATATTAGACAATGAACTACTGGGCTTTTTCTAGTTTCATGCTTTTGTTCTGTGCCCCCAATAAAAAAACTGGACCCAGCCTAGCCCCCTAGTAATTGTGGCCTATAACTGCCACTGAAAGAATATCTGTTAATGTGCCACATCACATCAAATTAGGTAAGAAAGAAACTACATTAGCAGCGAGTCATTCGAAGACTATGAGAATACATGTCTGACAAAATAGAAAGTGACTGATGTGTGTGCAGATTTTTCTTTGAAATGTAAACTCACACGTTTTTTACTGAAGCATAGAAATACAGGCTGGTACTATAAATACCAATCCATAATCTTAAAACAAACAAAGCTACAGCCAAAACTATTCCAGAAAAATCAAAAGCAAAACAAGAGAGATCTGTGTTTATTCACAGAGCAACTTTTGGAGTTACATATTGTTGACCTAATGATTGTACATGGCAAAAAGAAGTGTTTAAACTCTTAAACGCTTTATTGTTTTTAGAAACAACTGCTTGAAAATGACTAAATTGAATTAAATATATCTCAGGAACTACAAGGTTTATTTGAAATGTTTGTTTGTGGCGAAATAAATGTGAGGATTCAAGAGTTATAAAAACACGGTAAATGATTAAACTAGATGAATAATAAACACCTCAGTAGATAGAAATAACTTGTCATTTTTGGGACTACAAATACCATGTGATGTGAATAACCCTTAAAGGATGTGGTGGCAATTCACAACTTCTACAGGATCCAACCATTAACTGTACTGAATCTGATGCAAAGAAGTAAAATATGTACATTTTAGACAGGTGTGAATTAATAATTGTCACAGCCTGGGTTCTGTTTTGTTTTCTTTGAGTATTCAGTTTTACTTTGCTCCATGGTTTCTAGTTTTAGTCGTTTAATTCTTATTTTGTTGTGTTCTCTGGTTATTTTTCAGTTTTTAGGTTTTTATTTGTTGCCCTCTGCTGCCCTCTTGTGTTCTTTTTCCCTACAGTAGCTCCTTTCCTGTCTGCTCTGTTCACAGCTGCTCCCAATCTGCTCGTTAGTCCTCTCTTTGTTCTGTCTCCAAAAAGTACACTCTTTGTGCAGTTCCTCAGTGCTGATTCCTCGTCAAACTTCGACCTACACCGTCTTATAGTGTCTTACCTCGTCATGAATGTTTTCCCCTTATGTCCCCATGGTTTCTGGTTGGTTTAACTTTTTTCTTGTTGGATTTTTTGGATTTTTGGATTCCTGCCTCAGTTGTTTGTTTACCTCGCATTAAGTACACAATAAACTCACCTCTGCCTCAGTGCCTCTGCATTTGGGTCCACAAACCTCAAGCCAATCCTGACAATAATAGTCAAGGCAAAGCTTTTAAATACAATTTTATTGTAATATTTTTCAACAAGTTTTTTCTTCAGTCAAAAAAGCATTGATCCATTTCTCTTCCCGTGTCTTCTAAAGTCCATTGTTTAATTCTGTATGACAGTTGTAGCATAAAAGGTTCAGAAAGCCAATTTCTGTGAAAAAATATTTTAACAAAAAATTTGGTAAAGTATTTACTTGCTTTAAAAAACAAAAATAAAACAAATATAGAGTTTTAAATGCTAAATGATAAAAGTTTCCTGATAAAAATCCCAGTCCAGGGTCTTTCGGCATGGAGTTTCATGTTCTCCCTACGCATGCGTGGATTCTCTCGGGTTATTCTGGCTTGACTGCCCAGTTTATTGGCATCTCAAACTGTTCTTTAGGTTTGTGTGTTTGGCTGTGTGTCTCTCTGCTGCCCTGTGACAGACTC